TCGCGAGGCGTCTAGAGCCAAAGTGAAGGTTACTGACGCAAGGTGAGTTTACAGTCACTAAGACCGTGAACAAAGGCAGTTGACCGTGAACAGACGTGAGCGATGCGACGTGTTTTGGCGCACGCCTGGAGTTCACGGACGCGTTTCATGGTTCACGACCGTGAACTCAGCTCATCTCGGGTTTAAAAGATGAGCTGAAAGGAGGAGAGAGGGGAGAGCCCACTTTTGTGTGAAACACCTTCTTCAGCATTCTAGTGAGAGAAACAGAACCAAAGGGAAGAAGAAGGTTAGGTTTGGCTTCAAGGCATATTTTGGGAAGATTTCCTCCAAGGAAAGCTCAACTCAAGGGCCAAGAAGACTGGGAGCATCCTCAAAGATGGTTTCCACCTTTTTCCCTTTTGTTTTTCCCACTTCTAGCATGGAGTAGACCTCCTTTCACTTGGGTGTAGTGAAACCCTAACTCTACCATGTAGTTTTCTTGTATGTGTTTTGGATGATTGTCATTGGGTATTGTTCAATTCAATGATTGAGTTATTATTTATCATGATTGTGCCTACTTGTGCTTAGCAATCTAGGGGTTGTGCATGTTTTGTGCTTAGCATCCTTAGGTTTGTGCATTTAGGTGCTTAGCAACCTAAGGATTGTGCATAATTGTGCTTAGAACTCCTAGGTTTGTGCATTTAGGTGCTAGTAATCTAATTTGCCACCTTAGCCTAGCTTAGAGAGGAAAATCCCCCTTTCAAGGGAGACTTAATCGAGTTTCGTTTTCCTTCCGCTTTCTAAGCCACCTAAACTAGTTTAAGTTAGGGCGACCCTCAATATTGAGTTAAGCAAGTTGATTAATCGTGATTAAACCGTCCGACCTTAGAGTTGAGTGAGGGAGTAAGTCAATTACCGATTGTCTAAACCGAGAGGGTCGAGTGACACGGCCTTTCATCCTTACCTCGGTTTAGCAATTGAGACTGTGGTCTCCGACCACATATGCATTCCTCTGCGGTTCATGATTAACGTGCCCAAGGCAATCGTTCCAATCCACATAGAATGGTCGCGGTTAGGGGGAAGCGACACCCAAGTGACTTTCCCACAAAAGAGTTTTCAAACCAAATTACCTTTGCTTTCTTTCATTTCAATTAGTCAACCTTTAAACCAAAGTTTTTTTGCTAGATAATGATTTCAACAACTAAAGTAGGGATAGACGGACTGGCCCGAGTCGATATCTAAATATTTGCCCTATACTGCACCCGATTAGAGTTTAAAACTTGAGCTCTAGTTGGGATTTTACTGTGGTGTAGTTTCGTGCGAGTCATGGCCTACTTTGGATATTTGAACCCTAACCAATCCAAATTTTCCTTGATACAAAAAAAAGTCTTTATCATTTTTCCCTTTGTACGAAAATCACAAAGGAAAGCAAAATAGAACAAACAAACATATCAATAGATGCATAATGGTACTACTATTATGTTTTTCACCTTCTTAGCACCTCTACCTCCTCTACCACTTCTTCATTGGATGTCTCATCATTCTCCTCTTGATGTTGAAATTTGATCAAGATGCAACCTGGAGGAAGAGTGGGATCACATACATCTTTGCTTACAATGGCATTCACTTCATTGATTTTGTCTAAGGGCAGATCTTGAGTATGGTTTGAACAAGATTGTTCAATTTCCTTTTTCTTCTTTTTCAACCTCTTGATCATCTCTTCTTGTTCAACGAGGGAGTGTTGAGGATTAAGATTGAGATTGTTCACATTAGAACATGTCACTTAGGTCTCTACCCTTTTGAGAATCTCTTCCTCCACTTGATGTTCAAATTTGATACGCAAGCAACACAAAGGTTAGGATCACTAGTATCAATGTACTCTTTTCCATTACTGAAGCGCTCACATGCTAAGTCCTGCGTGCTCTTGGGGTTCGTTAGTGGTGGAGGATGAATCACCCTTTCACTCTTTGTGATAGATTTCTCTAATTCGAGCTCGAATTGGCTCTTCGGCACCATGAGTGAAAGAAAGTAATTACTCTCAAAGGCATTGGTTGATACCCTCATTCTCTCTAGGACAAGCTCTTATTCCAAAATCTCCTTAGATTGTTGAGGTTATTCTTGATGGTGCAGACTGGATCATGTTCACCCATCGGCCTCCATTCGCATCGTTGTCGCCTCTGATCTCCCTAGGGAAATCTCTCGGATTTCACCTTAGGTCGTGAAGGTTATTCTTGATGAAACATTGGAGGAACTCGTTAACCACGAGGTTATTGTTGATTTCCATATAGATGGGGGTTTCTTGAAATCGGGATTCTTGACCTTCATTTTTTGTTGAAGTCTCGGGGTAACACCATTTGAGAGAGGAAAAAAAATACAATTACTTCAATCAAACATAGACAAAAAAAAAAAAGACTAAATGGCCTTTCATATGACCTAAATGGCCCCCCTGCAATGGCACCAAAAAACTTTACTCATCGACATCGAACTTTACAAGTAACTTTGTTCGTCGATAATACTAACTACCTTAATCCTAGACCGACAAAGTGGTATAGTCATAAACAATGCCATATTCCTTGGTAAATGTAGGTATAATACTACTCTTGACCTCATTAATCTACTATCTAGCCAAACGAGATAATTGGGGTTTGAGTATGAACAGAATTAACCAAACAAAGAATGAAACAAAACTAACTATGAGGGAGAATCTGGGAACACCCAAATTGGTGTTATTTAGCCTCCATATTCTAGGTTTTTCAGGTCATTCTATGGTCTTAATGGTTAATATATTGTCATTTGCATCCCAAATCCGTTCCTTAGAGTATTTCATGTCATTTTAGGGTGCATTCGACGATACTAGTGTTTTAGGCACAAAAATGAAGCACAAGTGTGAGATGAGGAACAAAACAAGGAGATCACGACAGAAGGGCAGAGATCAAGACCGAGAAGAGGAGCCGCTAAGTCAAGCAAAAGATCGTGGCCTCTGGAGCAAAGACTGTGCCCACGGTCTTAAAGAAACCAACCGTGAACTTGAAGAAGCAGCAGCCAAGGAATGGACAAAAGGTTTCGGTAGCCGGCTCAAAGCCTCTGTTGTCCGAGACCGCGACAAAGATCACGTTCGTGACTTACGGTTCGCGACTATGAAGTAAGGCCACGATATCCTGAGCTAGCAGAGCCAAAATGTTGTGTTTCAAGATAGCGGCCTCCCCTTGATGTTGGATTTGCTAGAAGGAAAGCCCATTACACTCTTGAGCTATGTGGATCACGAAATTGGGCTCAAAGGGAGGGAAGGAGGGTCGGCCATGGAGAAGGAGTCTCAAGGTGTGAATGAAATCATCAATGGATAAGGATCAAGGTGTGAGCACAAGGAGGAAGGCACCATTCAAGGCTAGATTCTAGGAGGATGTTTGACTAAGTCTTTTCCTTGTTTGTTAAGGTTTTTGTTTTCCTTTTTCAAGTAAGATTTTTTTTCCTTAGTTGTTTTCTGTTTAGATTCGTGGGTCTATAAATAGGAGTCAAATCAATGTATTTTTCATTCAAATTTCAGCAATCAAATACAAGTGTTTTCGAGTTCTTCAAGAACGTGTTTTGCTTAAATTCTCCTTAGAGGATTCGTGAGGTTTGAGTGTCTCTTATCAACTAGAAGATCACATCTAGTTATGGCGAACTTTGACGATATCGGTTGGCCTCTTCCAAGAGTTCGAGATTGTTTGGAAGGTTTCATATACCTTTTGTCCCTTCTCACGAGTTCGGATTTGTTTGATCGATTACGCAAGTATCTTTATTTTTTGTGTTATCAAGAAAGGAGAAAATCATAAAAAGAGTTCGACGTTGTGCATTTCTGATTCTTGGTCCAAATTCGAGGTTCTCTTCGAATTAGGGTCATATCACGAGCCATAAGAGGAGGAGTCGACATTTTGGAGCAAAAACATAGTTCTAGAGAGAGAAAGTGACAAAGAACCAACCATAGGAGCTATTGGGGGTTGATTTCTCACCATTGAAGCGCAGATTGCGTCCCAAGGAGCGAAAATTGACATCCTAGAACAGATTATACATCATTCTGAGATTATACACATCATTCGGAGAAAGACAACGAGATCGCTAAATCGAGGCTAAGATGGTGAACATGGTGTGGATATTTGAGAAGAAGAGGATTTCTGGGTTCTAGGTTTGGGAAATTAATTTCTGGGTTTGATTCTCTGCATGAGTTGGCAGATGCGCAAATAAGAGAATTTCTAGGTTTGGGGCAATATATTGTTGGGTTTAATTCTCTGTAGGATTTAGATGAGGCGAGGAAGAGAAGAGGATTTTCTCAGTCGAAGCCTTGGATCCTGATTCCTCTCTTCGTTCTCAACTCTGTAAACATCTTTCTGTACTTCTCCTTCCGCCACCATACCCACCACACCCAGCCGCTTCCCTTCTCTGATGCATTCCGCCACCTCCCTCTCATCTCAAACCGCCACTTCCTCCCGACGCAACCACCACGCGCCGCCCTCCAGATCAATACTCCGATGAGTTCAATCGAAGGAGACAGGGTTTCGAGTCTATTTTGCATTTTTGTTTTGTTAAGTGGGTTTGGGTTTGGTTCTAGGTCGGGTTGGGTTGGGCATATGACATGGCCCCTTTAGTGACGTGGTGGGTCGGGTTTCACTATTTCTGGTCCAATACGACGCTGACTAGGCGTTCTCGTTAGCCATGTCAGCACATAACAGACTCTTTTAACGGAGTTGGACGGAGACTAACGAAGAGTGACTAAATGTGACCTGTTTCAGTAATTCGAATTGCCAAAATTTATATTAATTTTTTTAAGTGACTAAACATGACACGATTTAGTAATCTCAATGACCAAATATTGCATTTACCCGATATCTCTGCCCAAAAAAAACCACCAATTCTTCATCTTCTAAATCCGAAATTTGAGGTAAACTTCAATTTTTCAAACTCTTGATTCAAACCGCCCAACTCTGCTATTATAACAGACAAAGAGGAGCTGAAGTTGAATCGCATTGGAAGGAGAAAGAGAGAGTAGAAGAAAAGAGAAAGGAGAGCCAATAGGGGCTTTCAGTTCTCTCTCCTCTTATCTGCCCTCAAGCCCCAAAATCACCGTCGCCGTGAATCTACCTTTCCCCTGTCCAGATAGATATCTGTTTTGCTACTGCTGTCAAAGATCCTGAGTTCCCCTCTCCTCTTAATGGCCAATTTTTTTACAGAAACCCAGAAACTGTTACTGTGAAAGCTCCGCCAATCTTCCAGTTCCACGTTAAATGATTGCCGTCTCTCTCTCTCTCTGTACACGAAGTTTGGCGGGTTGTGGGACACAGCCAAGACCAAGCTGGGGGTTAATCACAAGATTCCCCAATCTTCCCGTCACAGAAATATTGGATCTTGGACTCATCTCTGTCCATACTCACTCTCTCCTTCCCTTCCTCCATTATTGTATTCTACTCCCACACCCCCATCTCTTATTATTATATATCCTTTCAGGCAAATCGAAGATTCTCACCACTTACATTGAGGGTCATTTTTTTAAGTCAAGCAAAAAGAATTCGAAATCAAGCTCTTTCCTTTTTTTCCCCACCCCTGCTGGGTTAAAATAAGCAAAATCAACTTGTGCCCCCTTTTTCCACCGGGGGGTTTGATACTTTGATTGCCATTCCTAATAATTGAGGGAAGGAAAGCAGAGCAGAGCACCAAGCAACCCTTTACCTTTTTGGCTGGGTTTTATTATATTCTATTGAGAAAATTTGGATGCGTATATCAGCTGTACTGGACTCACTTCCCGCAAAGGTGGGTCGTCAATCGTGGGTAGCGTGAACTGTGACAGAGAGGTGACATAATATATATACTGATATCGATACAGAGCTACTGTTGCTGAAATCCTGAAACTGAAACGCCTAGGGCTAAAGGGAGTTTCTTGGGGAAAGGAATCAGGTGACTTGGCTGTGTTGGCTGCTGGGCACTGGATGGATTGATAAGAGCGGCAGCGGTTGAAGGCAGCAAAGGAAAACGAAAAGGGGGTAAGCGAGTCTCTTAGTTGCAGAGGACTCCTACTTACTCTGTTTTCTTCTTTGGCAGTTTCTATCTTTACTGGTTCTCGGCTCTTTGTATGATTACTCCTACTCCAACCCCTCCAATATTTTAATCTCTCCTCTTAATCTCCGCCCATAAACAAAACAAATTTTACAAAAAGCTTAACTCCTGCGCTTTGCTTTTGTGGGTATGTCTCTTTCCGTTTAACAATAGAAAATCTCATCTTCTCTGGAAGCCGTACCTTTTTTAAATTCTTTTTTGTGGCTTTTTTTGATGCCCAGCTGATTGCAATTTCCAGCGAAAACAATGGGCTCATTCTACATCCTATGATACTCAAACGAAGGACCCATCCATCATCTCAGGTTCTACTCCCTGCTGCTTTGCTTCCTGCTGCCTCTGGCTTTAGTAGGTGAAAGTTTGGGTACAGTGTTTTGCTTTTTGTTCTCTTGTTAGGTCTTCTTCCCTTTGATTGTTCAGTTTCCTCTGTTCCCTTTGTTTTTCTTTACTGCGTCACCTCTACTCTTTGTTTGTTGTGTCTCGACGTCTACATGCGCTCTTTTCTATTACCCTTTTACTTCACCATCCCCTCGCACCCAACTTGTTAATGTGTGTTCTCCATCCCTTTCCCATTTGAATTCTCTGATCTGAGATTTCTAGGGTTTGCTACTTTCAGGGTAGTTGATTCATCAGTGAGCTCTGCTACAGTTTTGCCATCTTTCTCAGCAGTTCATATAAGGTGAGAAGATGAGCGGAGCAGTGCTTGTGGCGGTTGCTGCTGCTATTGGCAACTTGTTGCAAGGATGGGATAATGCTACCATCGCTGGTAAAGTTCCCCTACCAATTCTTCCTCTGCATATTGGTTTCATTCTTAATTCTCCAGCTAAAAGTTTCATGCTTTTATAATCTGGATCAAGTTTGGATCAAAATTGCAAGATACCCGGAAGAGCTCAAAAGATAACATATGAAGTTTGCATCTTTTCAATCCAATTCTCTCTGCTACTGAATCTGAGTCATGAAATTGATGAATGGTTTGTCTGCTTTTGTTTTGGCAGGAGCTGTTCTCTACATAAAAAAAGAATTCAATTTGGAAAGCGAGCCAACCATTGAAGGATTGATCGTGGCGATGTCCCTTATCGGAGCCACGGTGATCACTACATGCTCCGGAGCTATATCGGATGCCATCGGGCGTCGTCCTCTCCTCATAATCTCATCTGTGTTCTACTTTATCAGTGGTCTGGTCATGTTATGGTCCCCCAATGTCTATGTCCTACTGTTGGCGAGGCTTTTGGATGGATTTGGGATCGGTTTGGCAGTAACCCTAGTACCTGTGTATATCTCTGAGACAGCACCTCCTGAGATTAGGGGACTACTGAACACACTCCCACAGTTCACTGGTTCTGGTGGGATGTTCTTGTCATATTGCATGGTGTTTGGGATGTCCTTGATGGAGACACCTAACTGGAGATTAATGCTCGGGGTGCTATCTATCCCGTCTCTCGTCTATTTTGGGCTCACTATATTCTTCTTGCCCGAATCACCAAGGTGGCTTGTCAGTAAAGGAAGGATGCTTGAGGCCAAACAGGTTTTGCAGAGGCTTCGTGGCAGAGAAGATGTCTCTGGTAAGCACTCCTGATTTCTACCCTCTTCTAAGAATATATGACAAGAACATCGATAGTTATGGAGTCAGCTTTGGGTGACAATTCTTACAAATGCGCAGTGCACTTTCTTGAATCATCATTCAATTGAGTCCAAATGCAATGTTTTTATCCTTATGGTCGTCCAGAAAACACAAATTTTCTAAATTGTTCTCTTGGAATTTACGTGTTTCTCATACATGGCTTTGGTTTAAGCACAAGCAGAGTGATTATAAGCCTGTTTTGAGTTAAATCTTCAAGGCATGTATGTATTCTCAGTAGTTACGTGAGTCCAAGGATATTACCTTGTGCTACACTTACACTGTAGTTCTTTCTATTGGGTGCAACTTAGCTTCTCATGTTCAGAGATATCATGAGAAATTTTATATGCACAGTTTAGGTAGATCTGTCTTGGTTTGTTGGTTTCCTGAGACATGGCAGTTCTTTTCTTGGGGATGAGTGATTACTTGGGGAGGCTGAAAGTTTTCAGCTGAAAATAGTTCTTGAAGTAGAAACTGGGATGTGGGATTGAAGTGAAATATGTTGAATAATATTTGTATCATTTAAAAAAGAGTTTTTAATTTTGTACTATAAACACACTAAAAAGAAAAGGGAAGAAAAGAAATAGCAAATTTTATCCCAATCTGGGGGGATGGGAATGGCATTTCCCCGCCCTTCATAGCTGTGGATAATCTTCATATCAGGCGAAAAATTGGCACTTTGACCTCCTCCCTTGCACCCTCCCCTTTCATCCCTTTTGAAATAGTGACGGGCTCAGGTGAATAACAGTTCACTAGGGACTTGAGCTTTTATATTTGTGTTTTATATATATCTCAACAATTCACATTCTGGAGAGGCTAATAAAAGTGTGATGATGACAACAATTTTGGTTGCGCCCTTGTAATGATGCTAACAGGATTACCTTGAACAGGTGAGATGGCTTTACTGGTTGAAGGGCTCGGTGTTGGTGGTGAAACATCGATTGAAGAGTACATAATCGGCCCTGACAATGAAGTCAACGATGACCAAGATATATCTGGAGACAAGGATCACATCAAGTTATATGGGCCAGAAGCAGGCCTGAGTTGGGTTGCAAGGCCCGTCACTGGCCAGAGCAATCTTGGCATTGCATCTCGACGAGGAAGCATGGCAAGCCAGACAGCGTCACTCGTTGATCCACTTGTCACCCTATTCGGTAGCGTGCACGAGAAGCTTCCCGACACAGGAAGCATGAGAAGCATGCTTTTCCCGCACTTCGGCAGCATGTTCAGTGTCGGAGGAGGTAACCAGGCTAGACACGAGGAAGAGGACTGGGACGAGGAGAGCCAAGCTAGAGATGGAGATGATTATCAGACTGGTGCTGACTCCGACGATAATTTGCACAGCCCGTTGATTTCGCGGCAGACGACGAGCGTCGAGAAGGACATGGTGCAGCCTGCTCACGGGAGCCTGTCGAGCATGAGGCATGGCAGTTTGTTGCAAGGTACTGCCGGAGAGCAAGGTGGTAGCACAGGGATTGGTGGTGGTTGGCAGCTGGCGTGGAAGTGGACGGAGAGAGATGGTAAAGATGGGCAGAAGGAAGGAGGGTTCAAAAGGATTTACTTGCATCAAGAAGCAGGTGGGCCAGGGTCACGCCGTGGATCTTTGGTTTCTCTGGCGGGTGGGGATCATGCCGTTGGTGGAGAAAGTGAATATGTGCAGGCTGCTGCTTTGGTGAGTCAACCGGCACTGTACTCAAAAGATCTCGTGAATCAGCATCCAGTTGGACCTGCCATGGTTCACCCTTCTGAAGCTGCATCGAAAGGTCCGAGCTGGAGAGATCTGTTTGAACCGGGTGTAAAGCGTGCTCTGGTTGTTGGCATTGGTCTCCAAGTCCTTCAGCAGGTAATAAAATAAACAAAGTGCTCGATTGTGAGAGCTCCGTCTATCAGGTTGATTTATACAATAATGCTGCTGCTTCATTTGTTGTGGGGTTTCTTCTTCATGACTTTTATCTTTTCATGCAGTTCTCTGGGATCAACGGTGTCCTGTATTACACTCCTCAAATTCTTGACAAGGCTGGTGTTGGGGTTCTTCTTTCAAACTTGGGGATTAGTTCAGCTTCTGCATCTCTGCTTATCAGTGGCGTCACGACATTGTTGATGCTTCCATCTATAGCTGTTGCTATGAGACTCATGGATCTCTCCGGAAGGAGGTAATATATTATGCTGTCTCTGGCTTTGCCTTCTATGCTTACTTTAATCCGTGGCGCTGAGAGAAATGTTACAGCTCTGCACAGTTTCGAGCTCTCCATTCGATTTTTAATCTGTTGGTGCCTATTGGTGCTTTCGGTTGATGTAATTAACTAGCTTCTCTATCAACTTGTACCCTTTAAGATTAATCAATTGAATCAAACCGAGCCTCAAGTATTGTATGCGTGCTTGGTTTACAATGTAGCTGACTTCTGCGCATTTGTTGTGGTGCTGTGCAGGACATTGCTGCTGACTACAATCCCGGCCTTGATAGCATCCCTACTGGTCCTAGTGATTGGAAGCACAATCAATTTTGGCAGCGTAGTAAACGCAGCAATCTCAACGGTGAGCGTGATAGTCTACTTCTGTTGCTTCGTGATGGGATTCGGTCCGGTTCCCAACATCCTCTGCGCCGAGATCTTCCCAACTCGTGTTCGCGGACTCTGCATTGCAATATGCGCGCTCACGTTCTGGATAGGGGATATCATAGTCACGTATTCGCTGCCCGTGATGCTAAACTCGATCGGGCTGGCGGGTGTGTTCGGGTTGTACGCGGTGGTGTGCGTCATAGCTTTAGTGTTTGTATACCTGAAAGTGCCGGAGACGAAAGGAATGCCCCTGGAAGTGATCACGGAGTTCTTCTCCGTCGGTGCAAAGCAAGCAGAAGAGGAGAAGGAGAACTGAGGTTTTTGACTCTGGTGTTTTGTTGGTTTGGTGCGGTTTTGTATTTTAGTGTACTGTTGGAAACATAATCTCTTTTTTTTTTTTTTGCCATAATGAATTTTCTTTTGCTGTAGAAAGAAAGGAAATCGACAAACATCTTTTTTTTCTTCCTGAAATAGATTTTGTTTGCCTTTTAACAGTCCCCCAGTTGTTTATTATTGAGATGCAGTGTCTGGTTTTTGCTTCTTCTGCTGTCTGAGTTTGGACCTGGACAGTGTTGACTCATGCATGTTCCTACTGTCAATGAAACTGGGTGAGACTAACATTTGAGTTTCACTTCTAGTATTCGATTGCATGCATTCCTTCTTTGCTACTCCTTCGTATTATTCAGTCGATAGGAATAGCAATGTCTGCAATTTTCTTACTACACGGGTGAGATTAGAAAGGGTAATTTAGAAGTGAAGAAGGCGACAATACTAGAGAGTAGTAGTATTTTCCAGGTTTTGGGATATTGTATATCGGCTTTCTTTATCGAATTTTTTTTTCTACCAGAGTTCAAATTGATGTGCGGGCTTTAGTAGTATGAAACAATTAAATTACGGTTAAATACAGTTTTGGCATAAAATATCTTATCATTGATTTTCCGATACAAACAACCTGGATGCTTTTTACAATCCCTTAGTATTTTCCCAATGGGAGAGGACGAAGCTCTCATCTCTTGGTGAGTGGTGACTACTCGCTACCACAGGAGTCAGAATTATGATTCACCAAAAATCCTAAACATGATCGATTTGAGTAGTAGATTTTAGGATAACATCTATTTTTTATCCAAACTTTTTTCAGATTCTTTTATATTAATCCAAACCTATCGAAATACTGATAATTAGCCAAATGTTAACTTTCAGTTAGCAAATTTGTTAGTAATATTGACTTGGCAATATGATACTGACTAGGAAGAGACACGTGAAGGTTAACATTCTAAAATTTTAGTATTTTAACTAAGAAAATAGTTACAAAGTTATTAACGATAACGTAAAAATGGCTAATATTTTGGTGCATTACGAAAGATTTGGCTAATTAATATCATTTTAATAGGTTTGGATAATATAAAAGAATCTGAAAAAGATTTGGATAAAAAATAGATATTACCCTAGATTTTAAACAGAAGGTACTAATACCCATTTCTCGTCACGTCACGCCTAACGTGGCAAATCATATCCATCCAAAATAGGTCCTAGAAAAGGGCATATATAGTGGGGTCCAAATGGCAGGGGAAGAGGGCAAATGTCCCCTCCCATTTTTTGAGCAGATGGTAACAAAGGCCTTGATGCTTATTTTCTAAGAGGTAATTCAATCTCAAGAGTTGGCGCAATAGTTGGTTAATGGTTACAACATGCACAATCTTTCACATAGATGTAGGGAAGGCTTTTCACATAGATGTGTCATTAAAGTAGATCTAGTGAAGGCTTTTGACTTAGTACATTGGGAATATCTTTTCACTCTGATGAGAATTACAGGGTTCCCGGACAATTTTGATCTGGATCATGGTTTGTAGCAGGACCACTCGGTTCGGTATTAACATCAATGAGAGGGATCTATGGATTCTTTGCTACTAAGCGCAGGTTGAGGCAAGGAGGTCCCCTTCTTACCTCTTTCTATTGCAATGGAGGGCCTCTCTAAACTACTAAACTCATATGTTGTTAGGTGGTTGTTTGCATGTTCACCCGCAATGCAAAAAGGTACATTTTACCCATATTTGTTTTGCTGATGATCTTCTGATTTTCACAGAGGGTTCAGCTCAAGCAATATGGAAGGCTAAGTTTTTGTTATAAGAGGCTTATAGTTTCTCAGGACTAAAGTGCAATCCCAAAAAATGTGAAATATATTTTGGTGGAGAATCTCGTAAGTGTATGCAGAATGCTCTTGACTGCTCAGTTGTCTAGGAGGATAGTTTACTAGTAAGATACCTTGGTCTACCTTTGATAACAGACAAGCTCACTCAAAAAGAGCGTGATATACTCTTTGATAAATTGATCAAAAGGATCAAATCTTGGCAAGCAAGGAAGCTCACCTATGCAGGAAGATTACAGTTGATTGTTACAGTCTTTATGGACATTATTCAATATGCGTTGCAAGTCTTTGTATTACCTAAGAGGGTGATTAAGCAAATCCAAAAAGTTTGCTCATTTTTTCTTTGACATGGGGCATATTGTGGGAAAGCTAAAGTAGCATGGGAGTAATTAGCTAGACCCAAGGTAGAAGGTGGATTGGAGATCAGAGACATGGTAGTTTGGAACCAAACATGAACAACAAGGTAGATTTGGCTACTGTTAATGGATTTTGGAACGTTATGGGTGGCGTGGATGAAGGGATAAAGGTGCAAGGATGATAATCTCTAGGGAATGAAGGCCTCCTCCAGTAGCTCATAGTTTTGGAAATGCATCCACAAGCTTAGGCCTTTGTTGCAGGCTCATTTACAGAAGTATGGTGATGGTGGGATCTAGGAAGGTAAACCTATGAATACTTAAAATGTAGAAAGGGTTTGAGAGACTTTAAAACCTATGCATAATGTTGTTATGTGGGATAAGTTGCTATTGAACAAGAATTCAATGGTCGGAGGCTTAGCCCGGAACACTAGATATCCACCATCCTCATAATTGGATCCATAACAACCTTACCTGTCGATACTTGGTGTAGCCGCGTGGTGATGCCATTGCCCCTGCTAGCTTCTCTGCTCACGCTCTGACCCCGAAGCACCACCATACTCATCCCGTTGGCTCATGTCACTCCCACCAGACCCTTGTCCGAACTCCAGCTTCTCATTTCTTCCTTGTCCGATCGAGGCCCTTGTTCGAACTCCAGTTGCTTTCCAAATGGCCTGTCCTTCACCTAAGGCGCCCCGTAGGAGGAGTGCCTTCCCCCAGCTCCATCCTCCAGTCACCCCTGCCTCGACCACCCTGCCCGCCTCTCTTACCCGATTTGGGTATGGGTTGGTTTCGGTCCACCCTATTTCGGTCCTACAAAATGGTCTGCCCATGCACTCGCTTTGTAGTGTCCCGTCAAGCTCCCATCTTCATCCTACTCGTCATGTGGTTCCAACCGCCCAAACATCATGTTTTGGATGACGTTGTCATAACCGACTTCTTTGGTTTCCCTTTCCACGCCTCGATCTCCTGTTCTGAAGGGATCGACAGCAAACCATCTCCCCGCATTGGTTCCTGCGGAGCTTGGGCCGCACGATCACCAGCCGCAGCTCCTCTTGGAGCGCTCACCTCGGCGGTCGACTCGTCTTTCTCTGCCGCCACCTGCTCCACCGCGGTCGGAGTTTTCTAGGTCACATCCTCCCTGGACTTCGTCTCGGTTGGAAAACTGACCTTCTGGCCTGCCTCCTCGCTTCCTCCCGGGATTAGTCCCCCTTATAGCTGGACGGTCCGCGTTTGCTCTCTGCATGGACCAGCCTTCTCTTCCTTATCCTGCAATCTTGTGAAAGTCAGGTTTGCTGATCACTCTGTACCCAACCAGGTTCTGATACCAAGATGATAGACCTCAGAATCTAGGATGTGGTTGATGTGGTGGAATTAGAAATTTATGGTGAGATCAATTAGGGATTGATCTAGCGATTGGTGAAATGAAGAAGAAGAGTTGAGAGAGAAAGAGAGTTCGGCCGAAGTCTTGAGAAGAAGGGAGGAGGGTTCGACTAATAGAGGAAAGAATAGAGAGGATTAGGGTAAATGATATTCGTATTAAGCTTAGGCATAATCCTCTCCTTAAATGAATATTTATACTAACATACATTTATCCCTTTTGCTACCCAAAATAATAACCTAATCATAATACTCCCTCCCCAACAATAAATCGAATAATGATCCGACAAATAATTCTAATCATAATAACCCGAGCCAAAATAATCCTTAAATAATACTAATTCATAAATAATCATATAATGTGTTCATCATCCGATTATATAGTATGTTATATTTAATGAGTGAAGTTATACATAGTTGAATAAACCAAGGCTAACCCCCAATGAAGCAGCCTTTATCTCCTCAAATAATAATACCACATTATGTCTCATCAACAAGAGATAGTAGAAGACAAACATTCGAATCAACCTCGAATAAGAATCTCCCCGGTCTTTCAGTGAATCCACCTAAAGTAGGGAAATGTGAAACACTAGTCTTTCCCTTCTCTCTAACATCTTTCTCCACGCTTCCATGGGGGTTGTTATCGGTGCTCCTCCGGTGACCGGCGATAGCCCTCCGCTCCTTGACGCTCGTTCTTGCTTTTCGTTTCTCTACCTCTGTATCTTTACTCTGTTTTCCAGCCTTTTTTGGCTTCTTTTCCCCCTTGTGTGGGATTTGTTCCTCGCTCTTCGTGGGCTCGGGTTTTGTCCCTCGATTTGGATCCTAGATCTGGAGATGAATGCTTCTTGGTGGCAAAAGAGGCTGGTCATTTTCAAAGATTGGCTTGTCTTCTCCTCCCCCTCCCCATCCTCAACCCCCTTGCTGTTTCACCCTGCATGTTTGGTGATTCGGATATGCTTGGGTCTTAGGCTTGGACGCAGGTTCGTGAGCTTTGAAGACAGATGCTCGAACTTCTGATTCCTTCCGCTGTCCGTCCTTTCGATCTGTTGCATTGTTTCCGTCTGGGTGTGGAGCTACGTGGGTCGTTTGGTTCAGGGAAGTCTTTGGTGGGTTCCTACTTGCCGCCCTCCATCCGGGTTGGTGTGGAGCCGACTCTCCTCTGATGTTTGGCAGCCGGTCAACGTCCCAAGCGGTTCTGGTCGGTGGTGGTGTCTGTTGGTTCGTCGTTGATGATGAGGTTTCATCTAGCGGTGACTGGAAGAATTAGAGGGCCAACTTTTGCTAGGGTTGGAGAAGTGTGTTTTAGTCCTTGATTTTGGGCCCTATTGGGTCTCAACCACATGTTGTTTAGGCCTTGGGTGTACTTTGCTTGCTTGTATCATTTCTTTTTGAGTCTGGCCCAATTGCCATCTTTATGAAATGACTTATTAAAAAAAAGTTAATATATTTGTAAGGCCCGAACTTTTCACAAATTAAACATGCTGGTCAATCCTTTCGATTTATAATATTTTGGCCTCAACTATGCATCAAAGTTACTAAATTGGTCAAATCGGATATTTGACCATTATCTTAGACGATCAAACTCATTGACTAACTGTCAACGCGTCACGTCACTACCAAGTCAGCACATACCATTTAATTTTTTTTTCCAACCTATTATCATTTATCTTTTCAAAATAAAAATAGGTGTTTCTTTTTTTACTTCTTTTGTTCAAAATAAAAAATAAAAATGATAATAGGTGGAAAAAATCAAACTGGGTTGTGCTGACTTGGTGCGTTGACCGTTGTCTCTTTGTTATATGCAAATGAATCAACTGGGTTGCATGATTTTCCTTATATAATTTGTTTCTATAGATCTCTTTCCTATAATAATTAAACAAACCGTTGGGTTGCAGCTTGTAAAAATTGTGGAATGTGGCTTTGGGTAGTAGAACAAAAGAAATTTTGTGGGGGGTGTGGATACCAGCATGTGCATGCGCAGCCAGCTAGCAGCAGAGATGCAAATGGGGAGACGCTGAAGCCAGCCAGCAGCAGCCGTGGCTACCTTGAAAACTTGTTATCAACGAAGCGAACATGTCTATCCTGCTGTTCCTTCTGACGCTCAGAATCCATCCCATTGCTCCCACTCCCGCGAAATTCATCATCGTACGACGACGAATGTGGTGTCGTCTGGGGCTTCCATGTATCATCGACATCATCACCCTCAGCTGCACGCTTCCTCTTGGGCTTCAATCTCCAGACATCCGCCTTGTCATCCGCATACGACATGAACCTCTGCACCCTTCTCATCCCAGACCCAGATTTCCCCTTCCTCTTCCACCCCTGCGGCCCGGGCACAGGTCCAGTTGATGATGATGAACACGGGCCAGCACCACCATCACCATCGCCAATGCAAGCACTGCCACCGGGGCAGTGTTTCTTGAAGTGGTAGAGAGTGTAGCAAAAATAGATTGCCAGGGCCATAAAGCAAGCAATTCCACACAACAGAAACAGCCCCGCGAAGCTTTCGAGCTGCAGCTGATCCGATGACCCGCCTTGATCGCCCTTGCAATGCAGCTTTCTCGACAGCCACTTGCTTTGTATTCTCTCCAGCTCCCCGTTCTCTGAAAGTCCCAAGATAGCCGTCGACATGTCCACTGCCACCGGCGAATCCCTCCTAAACGCCTGCAACACAGTGTTGTAGAGAGTTTTTATCACACGACTCAGAGCTGCATTAACTTGCAAGTAATTGATTGGGAACTAACTGGCGTAGTACTTACGAAACCCCAGCCGCTTTTGGTGAATTCATCGCCACGGATGGAGAACTTGCAGTGATCCGCAAGGAACAGGTCGACGTAAGGTTTCTCGTCGACTACAGCTGCAACGGTGCCATTCGAGAGCGCGAGTGCATATTCCTGGGGGGAACCCAGTGGGAAGAGCCTGTTCTTCTGAATGTTGAGTTCATACATCAAGTAGTTTTCTGCGAAGGACCCAACTTGGTAACCTATTGCCTGGTTCCCAGATACCAGGGATTCAATTCCAGTGATGGGTGAGGATAGCTGTTGAACTGTGAGAATGGAAGTCAGGCTGGCTGTGTAGCTCGAGTTTATTATTAGGATTACAAACAACCATATTATCAGCACAAATCTGCCCATGGTGCTCCCTACGTTTTCTCCTGCCAAACCCAAAATCTCCAAGTCACTCACTTTATCAATAGTCGTTACAACCATTTGCCAAAAACACTTGCAAAACGGGTAAGGACACTTACTATGGGCCATAAACATAGTGGACAAGCTAAACCTGCAGCAAAAGACAAACAGAAACGAGGAAATACCATATGTTAGAGATGCATATCTCTGAGTCTTATCCTAACTTGAATTTCATAATCAAATCTTCTATAATTTCCCCACATTCCTATCAAATGGAAGCTCGTTCATTATTCCTTTGGGACTGAATTTCTTGTTGACAGTTGGTACTGCGGGTCACTAATGTCTAGACATGCCTGAAAACTTTCCATCATAAGAAATATTCTATAATTGGGTAAAAACCAATAATATGTAACACTGAAAGCTTCATATTCCATATCTCACACGTTACTCAATTCCTACTTGCTCTAAAGTTTCATAAGTTGATAAAAGGATTACTCGAAGCGTACCAAAGAACCGTTACCAACTGCTGTCTAGGTGGCCCTCTAAACTCGTCATTGGTCCTATGCTCAAGGAGCCAAATGACGGCTCCCACAATGACGAAGAACAACCCTATCATCCCCCACATTGAAGGAGTGAATGGCTGCAAAAACGCCCACGCACTAGAGTTCATCTTCCTCATTGGAACAACCACAACCAACCCCGACTCTATGAACGGCTGAGTGAAATCCACAGCCTTTGTTCTGTCTGTCACGATCGTAATGTCACCAACAACAGCATCGAATACCTGCAGCCAATACATAAGATAGATAGACTATTTATCCACATTTGTTTCCAGTTTTCTGAGAGCTTTAGATAAAGCAGCACTCACCCCTGTGGTGATCTTATTCACAAGTTCAGAATAGCTGGGGTTCTTGTGGCCATCACCAAAAGGAATGAACTCATAGGGAAGCCGATAAGGAAGCAATCTCCTGGCAGCTAAGAAAACATCAGTGCAATATCCTGCAACTGCACTACTGCTATTAACTGCCGTCACAATATCTCGATAGCTAGCTCTGTTAGGAACTCCAATCTTCAATGGTATTCCGTTATGGGGGAAGACCCAACCACGTGGCACAGCTTCCGCTCCACCTGGCCACACCACACTGGAGTTCAGATGCTGGTTTGAAGCAGAACGGTTTGGTGGATTTTCTCCATACAATTCCTCAGGAGGAACAACAGACAGACCAGAATAATTGGACCAGTACCCAATCAGCTGGTGACCACCACCTTTGACAGCATTAAGAACATCATAGGAAGGGTTCCAAACTGACCGGTCTGGGTGAAACCGAATCGGTCCAGTCAGACCATTCACATCTGTCTGTAATATGTTGTTAAGAAGTTTCCACCCTCCTTCAAATTTGCTCAAAGCTCTGAGATTCAAAGTTCCCCTGCTGATTTCATTCAGTTTTGTGTCATCGGAGAACGAAATGTTGTTGCCTTGATCAAGAAACTGCTTCACAGCACGAGCAATTGTCCAGACAGTATCATATGCGTAAAGCCCACATGGGTTCAGCCCAACCGAGCCATTGCTGAGTTGGTTCTTCCATCGTTGGACAAATTCCCTTTTCAATTGGGAATCAGGAGTGTGCTGTCGAAGAGTGAGAGCTCCTTGAAAAGAGGCGGGATTCGGTACATCAAGTGAACCCGAGTCCAATACAGTGGAAAGCCAAGTAGTAGCTATCCAAACATATCCTTCCCTCATCATTCCAAGGCTCTGCGCCACTTCAAAAACCAACAAGCCGATTTTAGTATAAGTATGCACAACAACCACGCAAGCTTCCATGCTGGAAACCTTAACTAGGGCTGCATGGACATCGCTTCTAGTTGCTTCTGTTGGGAGTGCTGCTTTGTAGGAGAGCTTGCTGTGTCTGTCCAGAAGCAAATTATCGAGTATGTTCATCCCATTCCGAGCCTGATCCTCATCTGTGTAAATGGCTACTACCTCTGGCCAACGATAATACGAAACTATGTCTGATATAGCAGTGACCAGGTAAAGGTCGTTTGGAGCTGTCTGGATAAAATAAGGGTACTGCAAGGGAGACATGGTGGGATCTAAAGCTGTAAATGACAAGAGTGGTGTCTGAAGTTCAGTTGTGAGTTGTGAAAGGACACGGGCCATTATAGAAGATTGTGGACCGATGATTGCCACAGTATCAGTCTCCATGAAGCGTAAAGCTGCAGTCAATAAGTAATGCATGCATCATGATCCATATCAACAAATGAAAGGAACGCAAATAATCATGTTGCTGAAAATAAAAAAATGTGCAGAATACCCCCAACAAAGCCGATGAATCCACTGAAGTTGGAATCGTGCATTACTAGAGACAGCTTCCACCCACCAAGAATGGCCGGGTCGGCATTGATGTCTTCCTCAGCAGCCTCCATAGCAATCTTTGATACTTTTCCATTGACTGTACTGAATGTGAAAATCGCTCCGACCTTGATGGTGCCAGTGGATGCAGAAGTGGAGCCTTGTGACAGTGGAGTACTGATGCACAGAACTAATAAGATGGGCACAACCCAGACACAGCTCATTGCTATTTCTCAACTTCAGAGCCTGCAGGGTCAATTAGGGAACGATTGGAATCATTTACTCTCAAGACTAACAGAAACAAGAGTGTCTAAATCATCTCAGAAGGAGCAAAATGCTATTTTTCCTAGTTCTGTTGGAAGACAGAGAAAATGAAAACGAAACAAAAGCTAATTCGAATCTACAGCAAGCAAACCAAGCCATGTTGCAAAAGAAGTGAGGAAGTATTTAGATAATGCAAAAGCAAGGGGACCAAAATCATTTAGTGAACAAACAAACAAACACTAGCTTGCCAATGAAGTAACCCTGAGGAGCAAGAAAAGCCCATTTCAAGTTTGAAGCTTTAGAGCTGAGAAGATACAGCCAACGAATATATGTATGTCAGTATGGATACACAACCTGGAAACGGCAAGTGGCCCTTCACCTCACCAGAAAGAAAAAGGGAACTTTGTCTTTTACCAAAACCGCAGAACCAAAAGCAAAAGGGCGAGCGAGATCACAAATATGAACAAATAAAACGAGAGCTGCAGAAGCAAGTATGCAGAAAGCAAGGAATTGTCAGGGATTCACGAGCAGTGAGCACTCACCTCATGGAACTCAAAGAAAGGAAGAAAATGAAGCTCGACAACTGTATCTCGTGGAGCACAAAGGGAAGAAGAAGCAGCAAGCGGCCAATTAAATGCTACAAGAGAGAAGCCCATGGCCATTCCTCCTCTCAGAAACTATGATAGAGCAAAAAGGGGAAGGAGCAGTCACAAGGGAAAAGATTTCAAATGTCACAGGGGGAAAAGCAAGGGAAAGCAACCCTTCTGGATTTGTTTAATTTGGGTGAGAGGGGAACAGTAGTTCAGAGAAAAGGAAAATAAGGGAACAACTAACTTCGCGAGTTGGGTTTGCGTGCTCCGTTCCAGCCCACGGGTAGATAGAACAACAAGTTCCGAAAGGGCAAAAGAAAGCGAGGGCAAGGGTTTCCCTCAAAAAGGCTGATGGAACTAATATCAGAATGCTTTCCTATTTGCCATCAGCACATCACCAAGCTTATATATTCAGTTCAAAATATTGAAGGACTAGGAATCTGAGAACAGAACCAATCAAACGGTTCCAAGCGCACGAAAGCTTGTCCCTTTGTCTACTGTGATAGACTCATCGCCAGGGTGTAGAATGGATGGTTAGATGCAGTTCAAAATGAATATAATCGGATTGAAATAAAGGTCGCGGAACCAAATATTGAAATGCACTTACCTCAAACGAAAAGTGCAAAGGCTTTTATCAAAAGGTAAATTAAATGCCCTGTATAACGAGCTACATTGTTAAGTTGTACAATTCTGAAGTATCACTGAGCTATTGAGAAACAATGAATAAAGAGCCCTGTATTATCAACTCAACACCAACTTAAAACTTCCTTTTGCTGCATGCCTGCATCCATCTTACAATTTCAGATTGCTCTGACCATGACAGAAGAAATCTCTCTCATCGTACAGTAGGAAATTTCAGTCTACTGCAACAAACAGCATCAGGTCTAACTTTGATCTTGGCTGCAATTGGCTAGGCTATTATCTCAAATTTGCAAAATTACATACACCAAGAAAGAATACACTCTGCTCTTAGTACGATTTAAGCTAATTAAATATACGGGGAGTGATGACCCAGTAGACGGATCTGACACTAGAAAATTGTGTTTCTCAAAGCTGTACCAAGGAGCCGACTATCTTCCACAAACCACATCCTCATGGCCTCTCAAACTATGAGCCTACAGAAGGAAGTGTATATGGTGGAAGGTGGGATAATAGGAATCTGCAGAGGAGAATTTAAAACGTCCATGCATCGTAACACTTCAATCACAGACGACCTTATTACCTTAGTCAAAAATCCTCTCTCCACTGGAGAACAGCAAGAACACAAGAGAGCTGAAGATGCAGAGCAAGCCCGGTATGCAGAACACAACTCTCCAACTTTCTGGACTCGAGAGATCCGAATAAGCAACTTTTGAAGCTTCAAGAAGCTTCCCAGTTAAGTCAACCCCAACAATTCCAGCCAAAGTACCAGCAGTATTAGAAACTCCCATAACTATCCCAGCATATCGTGGTGCAATATCCATGTGATTCACCGCAAATCCAGCCCTCCCTAATGCTAAGAACCCAAGAGCAACCGATGAACAGAAAACAGCCCCATCAGAAGTTCTGAAGAGTGGAAGTGCCATCAACGCAAAAGCAGCTACCAAAAACCCGATTGTGTTTAAAACCTTTCTTGTTCTAGTCACGGAACATATCCTCTTGGTGATCAGATGGTCAGCAACCACCCCACCGATATTAGAAAAAATGAACATGTTGAGATAAGGCATCATTTTAGAGGAGCCCATTTCTTGAAGACTGAGCTGCAACCCTTGCTCGAAGTAAGTGGGCAGCCAATTCATGAGCACATACAATGCATAATGGAAAGTGAAATTGTTCACCACGATTGCCCAAACTGGTAAGCTCACTAAAATCCTTTTCCAAGGAATTTTGGCAGTTCGGGTATTGCTTACGCCATTCTCGACTTTACCCTTCGTTTTAAGTGGCAGCAAAGACTCCCCAAATCCAGAAGCAGTGGCTTTTGGATGCTCAGACCGAGGTGGGTCACTTGCATACTGAAACCAAAGCAGAGACCACAAAACCCCTAATATGGCTTCAGCAACAAATACAGTTTGTGGTCCCTTGAATTTTACCAAGGATGGGAGGATAAGCATCCCCATGGCTGCACCTAAGTACATTCCAGAAGTTGTGAGAGAAACCGATCTGGACCTCTCATGGGGTGGGACCCACTGAGCCAGGACAGTGTGTATGGAAGGAAAGATGAAACCTTGTGCAACACCAACAAGCAACCGGGCAAACACCAACAGTGTAACTTGGTTCGGATCGAGTGGGACTAGAAAACAAGTCAATGACCATAAAACAAATGAAAGAAGAAGAACCTTCCTTCCCCCAATCCGCTGAGCTGCCCAGCCACCAGGCACCTGAGAACAAGCATAACCATAATAGAACGTCGATAATATCACACCTTTGCTTGATTCATTAACCCCAGCACCATCAGCTGCAACAGTATATGCAATAGAGAAGCCCACCCGTTCTATATAGCAGACACAAGTGCAGATGAATGTTAGAATGACAATCCAGTATCGCTTTGGGAGGTTGAGCCTCGTCATCATTCACCCTCAAACCAATGTAACAGGGGTAGTATGTCAACCTCCCTTCCAGAAACCCACTTGATAACTAGAAGAGCTTTGTATCACACTCCCTTCAGAAGGCACCATGGGATCAAGTGTGCTAGCTACTTCATATTGCCACTGGTCTAGGGACCTAGAGGTAAGAGCAAACAAGAAACCAGCTTTAGAGTTACTCGACTAGGAATGCAGAAACAGTAGATACTAGGGAACCACGGTCAAACAGCAATCCTAGAATTGGAATTAAAATGAATGGTAGGGAAAGCCACAAAGCTGCCTTTACAGTGCTGTAACACAGGCAACAAGAGAAAATCAAATCATTATAACTCTACCAAGTTCAAGAGAAATCAGAACCCTTTCCCAGCTAATTGTAAATGGAAAAGGCTACACGCTCCCATTAAAGGAATTCGACACATCTAAGAAGCAGTACAGAGTAACATACCAAACTAAACCCTAATGAGCCACGTGTATGCAATCCATAATGTAGTGTGGTGGGTAATAAGCCGCCCTGCTAGATGCTTTTACTGATAAATGCTATGTAGTTTCTTATATCAAAGTTAAGATCTTTTTAGTTCTAACTGATGGGAATAGGACAACAACATCGGAGAACAGAAAGAATGCATTCGGCACAAGAGACCAGCAAACCCTAAGTTCCCCCAACACATTAAAAAAAAAAATCAAGCAAATGGTAGATCAGAGGGGGTAGCAAGACATGGTAACTGATCTGAAGAAACCACCCAAAATGGCATTCTTAGAGATCGAAACACAGAAATGACGAACTACAGGCAATGAAACTAGAAACCAGATGACCTAATATTCAGCAAGTGCATTAAAGGTTGTTACTGGAGGTTCATTTTCTTGGCAGGGTCAACCAACAGGAAGACATCAAAAGCAAGCCGAGGCAAGAAGCCAGAGCAATTGACCAAGGAGGGAAATGGGAATATGGGATCTCATGTATCAGAGATAAAAGAGCGTGAAAAGGGGGAATTCAACAGGGAGAAGGAGGGTTTTAAAAGGAACAATACCTGGGAGAATGGGGAATTGGGGATTGGAAGCAGCGCACTAAGAATTATAGGTAAAAGGAGCATCAAATGGCACCAAATTGCTACACCCCTCCACCTTCTAAATGATTCATTTGGTCGAAGAAGAAGAAGAAGAAGAGAGGTGGGAAAAGGGGGAAAATGTGGGCAAGAAAGTGAAAGGCACTGTTTTGGTTGGAAGGAGGAGGGAAGTCAACGAGCGGGAGGTGGAAGGAAGTGTAGAGAGATGCTTGGCTGGGCTGGGCTGGCTGCTTCAGAGTTTCAACTGCTCACTACTGCGGAAACTGGAGGAGGGACGAACACTGTCGACTACTGGAGGCTGCTGGAGCAGTAAAAAGAAAGGAAGAAACCACTCTCTGTCACGTTGTTTTTCGTATTAGAAAATTAGGGTTTTCCATCGCCATCATCGGATTTAGACGGCCTATCAGAAAACTCCTCCGCTATTATCTCTTACTTTTTGTATTTTATTATTTATTTAAGTAGTCATAACTATTGACTTTGTAACAATAATAGAATTTTTTTTACAAATTCACAAAATATCTAATTTTGTCCAAAAATTTTACGTAGTCATTTTAAATGCTGATTATACTAATTTTTTTCTGATTTGGCGACATTTAATTAAAAGATATTGACTGGTGGAATTAACTAAATTCATTTACAGCTTGTTTGGATATAATTTTGTTGGAAAATGAATTCCATTTCTTATGAGAATCTGAATTCAAGTAGGAATTCATTTTAAAATTTTATGTTTGGAACAAATCCAAAAGTTTGGGAAATGATTTCATCTTTTTATGTTTGGAAAAAATGGAAATGATTTCTTACAAGTGCTTTTACAATAATATCCTTAGTATTAATGATTTCAAATCCAAAAGTAGTAAGGGCTTTCTTGTAAAGGTGAGTCAAAATTAATGTGGGGTCCACTAATTCCATCACTCCCTCCACCAATTCCGACCACTTTTGGTAGGATTTAGAATTTCCAACTTTTTACCTTTTGGAATTCCATTTCCTTTTTACTTTTTACTTCCAAACATGAGAATCATGGAAAGTTTGGGAATTGGAATTCCATTTCCTCAAAATTTAGCCTTTCCAAACAGGCTGTTAGGGGTTTTTGCTTGATGGATTTGGATTCATCGTGGATTTTGTCCAAAATCAATTGTTTGCTTCATGTATTCAGGGACAACAAATTCATGGCTCTTACAAACTTTAAGGGTCCAAATTTGTGGACCCCGCGGACTTGAAAGTTCCACTTCTTTAGGTGGGAATTGATCATGAAATTTGAAGTCAATTGTTTAAAGGCTTAAACCCATAGCTATCGACTTTGTGACAATAATATCCAATTTTTGAAAAATACAAAAAAATGTCCAGATTTTAGAACATGTTTGAAAAATTTAGTCATTTTCGTTAAAAAATTTAACGACATTAACAAAATGCCAATGAGGATGTCACCTAGATGTAGACATCAGCAACAACTCGACATGCCATGCCACATGGATGCCACATCATATTTTATTTAAAAAAATATAATTACAAATTTTCTATTTTATCCATCATATTCCTCTGCTAGCCCAATTATCTTCCTTTCTGATTTCTCGGTCAGCACACCAACGTCTGAGACTACTTGCTTCTCCATTGTTCTGGCAAAATACACTTTCATGACACAGTCGCTACTAGTGTAGGAAGCCAGGACTCCAATGCTTGTGGAGATCGTCGAGAGCAGTTTCGCACTATTTCTAGCGGTTCTCTATTCAGCGGTAGAGGAAGACCTGCTAGAAGCCACCACCAGTTAAATACGCTGGACGGAGGTGAAAAGGGGTTGAGGCGGGCGATTGGAGGAAGGAGAAGGGGCTACGACTGAAGCAGGCGAATTGGAGGTGGATGAACCTTCTGTTTTATTTTTATTTATCTTTCATTTTCTATATTTTTTAGTTATGCCAAGTGAATTTACTTAATTCCACATGATTACTAAGTGTCGCCAAATCAGCAAAAACTTAGTTCAGTCAGCATCTAAAATGACTACATAAAGTTTTGGACGAAATTGGACATTTTGTGTATTTCTGAAAAATTGGTTATTGTTATCACATAGTCGATAGGTATGGCTATACATGTGTATTATGTCATTAAAGTATGATGTGGTGTCCACATGGTTTGACATTTCGAGTTGTCGCTGACGTGCGTCAATGTGGTATCATTGTCAACGTCTTGTTAATGTAACTGATGGAATCTCTAACGGCGGAAGTGGCTAAATTTGACAAATAATGTTTCTAAAATCTGGGCAATTTGTGTATTTTTCACAAATTGGCTATTATTTTCACAAAATCGATAGTTATGTCAATGCAAATGAATTTTATCTTTTTTTTTTATTATCGCAATCTCTTTCTAATTCTCATAAGTATGGTTATGAATTCGTTGACATGTCAGTCATACAATCTGATCGGTACCGACTAAATTGGCTAGAATATATTCGATATGACCAGGTTTTTTCCTTTTATGATGAATCAATTAGGTTTTGCATTTCATCAAAATTTCCAACTCTATTAGGCTATTAGCAACAAACTCTTCCAATTGAGTACGGGACAAGTAGACTAAAAGAAACAAGACTATCAAAATTTCAAACTAAGCAGAAGACCATCAAGCAAAAAACTGATCTGCAATACTGGAATCCAACACAAGTCACAAATCTCTTTTAACTAAGATCTGCAGCTCACTAACATCTTTTTTCCTTCCATCAAACTTCATCAAACAACGCTCTCTCCAAATCGTGGCTAACAGAGCTTGCAAAATGTGTCTGCCAGCATGACCAGAGACACTCAAATCCTTGAAAAGAGAATTCATCGCCCACTGAAGTTCAACTTGCCACTGGTCTCCATGTTTTCTTGTTGTAAATCTGGAGAACAAATCTGCATAAATCATTTTAAACAAGGAGCATTCTGCAAACAAATGAGTCTGTGTTTCCAATAGACTTCGACTTCCAAGTTCCAACTATTAATTTTGCTTGTAACCTTGTCAATCAGAGGCTTAAAAAAGTCTTGATAAAAAGTTCTCTGCCGACAGAGGGAGACCAAGATACCTAACAGGTAGAGTACCAAGTTTGTAACCTGAATTCTAAGCCATCAGAAGCTGCCACTGATTTAAAACTCCACCAGAAAAGAGTTCGCACTTCGAGGGGTTTAAACTCGAGACCAGACATATATCTAAACTGATTCAACACATTTTATACACATTGAATCCCATAATTAGATACATAAGAGAATAATAAGAGGTCGTCAGCAAACATAAGATGTGTCAAATTCAACCTCTTGCACATAATGTGGGAAGGCATAGCATTTTGCTGCAGAACTCTATGCATAAGACAAGAAAATAACTCCATAGGTAGAGGGAGAGGGGATCCCCCTGCCTCAGACCTTTTTTGCAGAGAAATAGGCAACTGACACTTCATTAAACCTCACAGTTAACATTGGGGTAGTGACACATTTTTAACCAAGCAATAAACCCAGCAAGGAACCCCAAGCTAAGATGCATTTCATCAAAACCAAACAACACTACCCCTGTTAGTCTCACTTGTTTCATAGATATACTAACTTAACAACAAAAGGAGAAACATAAAACAGATAACAGCAATTTCCAATGACCACAACTATAGAGTAAAACTAATACATTTTCCAACCCACTGCTGCGGCTCCTCGACCCTCCCCTTTTAGTCTTTTACCATCATTCATAGCTAGCAATAAGCAAAATGTGCCAACCCCACAAGACGCTGCTGCAACCATAATATCCACTCTTTCACGTTTTCCTCTCACGCCACGGCATGATTAGCTCAAATGTTACAAGGAGATTCTTCGCACCTTCTTTGATCTGCTATCCACTGACTTCACTCTGTCCTCTGTCGTTTCGAAGGGCTGCTGCTCTCATCTCCTTGCTTGCTTGCTTCTTCTTCGCATTTGAATGTCCAACCACCAAAATCAGACTCCGAGAACAATGTCGTTGGTGTCATTTTATAGAATCCCAGAGGCACCTGTTTCACTCTTCTTCGAATCTGCCATCCACATTTCATCAGCCATTGCTCATTCAAGTGAAGCAATCAACTAAACATGCAAAAATCACTCAAACACAATAGGAGCGCGCAGCCATTGGGTAATGATCGGACCAGCAAGGCTGAATTGATATTTCAATCCGAATGGGTCGTCCGATCTTTATATAATTCCGTTCTGATTGATACCATAGATTTTCTTAATAATAGGGAAAATGTCAACCAAATAGCAACAGGGCAGAATGCGCTTTCAATCCAACTCTAGTTCAGCCGGACCGTGGCACACCCTGCAAGACAGACTGGAGAGAGGTAGGTAGCGAGTCTAGAAGGCATACCTCTGCCGCAAAAATTGTGGCATATGACCCAGAACTGAAGTCCTTTATATTCATCTCTGTGGTTTTTGCTCTCACTGTCAAGTCGGTCTCTAGTGACTCGACAAACCTGAGTACATTTGTCAAGCATGCATTGTCAGGAGAGGCACTCACAGCATTTCACGCTACATAAAGCTTTTTTTCTAGCATCATTATCAACGTACCTTGAAACATGGGGACAGTAATGGTGGCGAAGGTTATCCACTTCCCACAAAGAGCTTCCTGCATCAAGAATTTTAAACCATTCCTTAAACCCTCATGCCTACATGTAACTAGCACAAAGACAGTCTAGAAGAATCAAGGACGGATACAATGAATGAGTACTCACTCAATGCATTGGACTTCACTGGATTGCTTTCCTCATTGTCAAAATGGTCGACACCTAATCTTCTGCTAGTCCCACTTCCATCATCATTATCAACACTGTCTCTTTCTGCTTCTGAGTTATTGTTCGATGTTTCATTGACATCTTCCTGACAGATTTCAAAACCCAACTATGAATATCTATATGTGAGTAACATTCTCATTCACAAATTTGTCTCAATAACTTCCTCCAGACTAGAAGCATGTTAACCAAACACCTACCAAATCGGGAACCGAAAAGGAACATAGAACTTATGCAGGAAGACCTTCCGATAGGAATGCACAATATGCATAAACAAGCAAGCCAGAGAAAATAACCAGTTACTAATGATTTCTCAGTACGATCAACAAGACATACCCGGTGAACCAAGCAGTTGATTGAAGGATGCCTGCGCAGGAGGTTATGAATCAATGCAATGATAACCATTGCTCCTGATGGAGGGACCACAAGTGAGAGCCTACTCAACCGCTTAGTAAAAGCAGCAGCAAGATATGCCGGAAGAAGAGGTGACTTTAGGCATGAATCAAGGAGCTGCATCAAAATAATGATTGGGTAATTAATAAATGTATCCAAACCAACATAAGTTCTGGTAGATAATTTCACAATGAGCATAATTGGATAAAAAAAACTCCAGTAGTTATAATATCTAGACAACTTTGCCAACATCAAGACCATGAAAACTGAAAACAGATGTTGTAAGTCCACACAACAACCACAACATTTACAACAAACAATAATGTGCAGCGGAGACACGCATCAAGTTACAAGCAGGTGGAGTTGCCAAGCCATGTAAACAGCTTAGCATGACAATTCAGGATTGATCACTCCAACTTAGGATAATTATGTTGCAAAGAAATTGGCAGTTATAGCAACAGTTATTACCTCAAAAAATTTTGCCCTGTGTTTTGCCATAAAGACAGAAGGTACCAGCAGTGCATACAGTTTGTCATAGAAGTCGGGGTACTCCAACCCATGCTTAGTCATAAGGATGAAGAGACTGCTAAGAGACATGACGCTGACAACCCCACCAATATCATATGATCTTGTTAAGAAGTCACTGCAAGGTGTACAGTCATATAAGCAACAACACAAAGGAAAGAGAGTGAGCAAAAACAATCAATGCAATCATTCTACCATAACATTAGGGGATTGCCCAGGTTAGGCATGACAGTTTGATGCAAAGTTGCAAGAACCTGCACATCATATAAGCATGTCAGGTACAAAAGGGGAAACTAACAGGACAAATAGATGAGTATTGTCTTTCAGAAGAATTAAGACTGGTGTATGTTCCAGGTTGCTGGTGAGACTTACCTCCTTGTATATGTCAAGTGGAAGTGGTAACCTAAGAAATGAAATCCACGCATTTGTAAATTTGACTTTCATCTTTTTGACAATACTTGCTGTTGATATGACCTGAAAGAATTCACACGTGGAGTAGGTAAGAAGCATAATTACAAACAAAGAATGTCTACCATAATAACTCAGAGAGCCAAATAGATAATAGATGACTCACATTAGTTTGTTTGCTTGACTTGAGCTCTTTATCTTTAGTTTTTGTGGGTTTAGGAGTTTGAGATTCATCTTTCAAGGGTATTCCTGAACGTAAAACATTAACTGAACATAAGAACTCCCGCTGAGAACTAAAACAGCAAGTCATTTGTCAAAGCAGACATGATTCAACAGAATGTATGGACAAATCAAGTGCTCTAGAGAAGTAAGTTTTTAAGGGCAACAGGTGGTTACCTGAATCACTCCACATCTCAAGATTAGAGTTCTCTTCGTGATCATCAAGAGTGGGCATGTGGGCCAAAAGATAGTGCACTTTGTGGATCGGAAGCTCAAGACTGAAAGGGAATGGCAAGAAATGAATCGCAGTGCAGCTTGGTGTACAATACATCCACATAATTCTCAAAGATTTACACTAACCGTTCTGATGACTGATTCCGCTCCTCAATACCACCACTGGAATTTTCAACTTTATTGTCTGGGTATGAGGTGAAAAAACATTTTAAAAAAACAATATCTGGAAAGAGAGGCAATCACCAAAAGATGAGTGAAATATTCAGTGGAGTACCAGAGCTTTGTTTAGCTTCAAAAGTCCTGGTTAGTTTCTCAAGGCTGATGTATGTGAAGTAACTGTAGAAACAAAAGGCCGATTCAATTTCACGTCAGAGCAGTTATTTCCATCTCTCACAAAAGAGAACAACTTCAGGACACTGGTCACTTTGAACCAAACAAATGACCAGCAGAACGTAAAGTGGGGATATCAGCCATATGCGTGTATGCAAAGCACAACAATGTGACCAGACACAAAAAGGAAGATGCAGAAGACGTTAAAGATCAACCAATTCATGGAGGCAGACCATACCGTATATCACTGTACTTGAAGAACTTGGACACTAGCAACTCTACGATAAAATCAACTGGGTTGCTGGAGTAGACCTGCAAATGGAGGACCATGAACACCAATTCATTCATCCATTCACACACTTGCTAATTAATTAAAGATGCAGATGGGGAGAAACTTCTGAACTTACAATGTTGTGGATTAACCTGTGATATATGGCGGAATGAAATTTCCCTCTATTCCCAGCCTTAACAAATTCCATGATGGCATCCAACACAACTTCCTGCATAGGCAATTCCAGCAGTAAAAGAGAGCAACGCCAATTAGACTATGCAGAGATGTAGCAACCAAAACCAGATATTGAAAAGAGTAATGAAGAGGGTTTACTCTCAACGTGGGATCAGGCTGCGGCGAGATGACAATGTCGATGAGGGAGCTAACGAGGTGATCAAACTTGGAGCGAAGCCATGTCCTGTAAATAACTTCGGCATCGTCGTCGCCTTTAGAAGGGGCAGAGTGAGCTTTGGAGGAAGAAGGAGGGAGCTGAGGGAGGAGGGGAGTGAAGAAGGACTGGAGAGAGAGAAGGGATTCGAGAACGTATTGGGGAGGGAATTCAGGGGAGATGAAGTTGAGGAGGAGGGGAAGGTTGTTGACGTGGCTTCTGGAAGAGAGCAACTGCTGGCCAAGGGCTTTGAGCTCCTTCAGAGAATGCTTGGACTTGGATTTCCTGGACTTCTGGTTCCTGCCCGCCGGTGAAGCCATCTTGGCGGCGGCGGTGGAGCGAAGAATGAATTTGCAGGAGACGGGACTTGGCAACACGGCGTAGGCAGCAGCAGAAACCAGCAATAATGGGGTTTTAGGTTTTGCTTTCGGATTGGACGGAGGGAAGGGGTTTTTGGCTGTTTTGTTTGTTTTCTAAGATATTGGGCCTTTGCTTTTCTGGGTCTGGTCAATGTCACTGCGCAAGCCCAGCCCAATACCTATGGCTTGCCATTAGGATAGGAAACGGTCTGGTCCAGTTTAACCAGACCGGTTTTACTCTGTTTTTCAGATGATAATTGTGCTAAATCTAAAACCGAAAATTGGATTCAAAACCGTATCAACCATGACAAGAAAATCGAAAAGACATTATTAGCTTCCCAAAACGTCTACATAGCTCAACATACATTAGAAAACTATTCACATCCTTAACATAAATATATTCCCAGAATCGTAACTCGTAATTCTTTAGGAATCTTGTACTCGTTTTCTCTTTTCCATTGCATCAAAACACAAACAAGAAAGCCAAAGAGAACACCCCACTCAGCCAATGGAGGCAGAAATTTTATATATCGGTGCATTCTTTCAAAAATTAAATTAATAATTAAATAATTATTATATAAGAAACATCTAATTAGTGTAAGGAAAATAGAGGTTCGTTCTCTTTTCTCTTCTCCGTCGATTAATCTTTCTCTTCCGTTTGCCTCCACCTACAATCCTTCTTTTTCTTTTTACTTCAAGAACACTCTTCCCCTTCAATCATTCACAGATTAATTCCTTCAATTGGGATTGAAGGAATTAAGCCGTAGATGAAGGAAGATGATGAGTATTCTTGGAAGAAGAAGAGAAGAAAATTTTAGGCGAAGGAGACAAAAGGAAAAGAATAAACACCTGAACCTACGTATGACTCTGTTAACTTTGACATCAGTTTTAACAAAAAAAAAAATAGCTAGTAAATTGTATTTCAAAAGGTTTGACTATATAATTGTTTGTCCTACAATTTGACTGATTTGTGAAAACTTGACATCCACTTCAACATCCAAATCAGCATCATTTGCATCTCAAGTCTCAACCACCTGTGTCCGGAGCTTGTTTTCGCTCAGTTGAACATTCAATATGTTGATGGATGCTGGATGATTCAATTCAACTCGGGAAGAAGAGGCAATAAGAACAAAAATGAAACAAAATAGTTCCTCTAGCTCAGGCATACAGAATTGAGAACCTCATTCTACCTCGTCTCGTATTCATGCTATCTACGCAACTAACCAAAGCCACCCGGTCTGCAAGGCGGCCTGCCAACCAATTACTTCCTCTGTAAGTTACGACTGTGTATGTGCTGCAGCTCCCAATGTCTCGTCGCTTCTTTCTACCCCCTTACTATATCAGTCAGTGTGACGGTCTTTCCCTTGGCTTCCTTGTCCCGAACCCACTAAACCGTGTATCCCCGCTGATGTGAAGGCAGCCATCTTTCAATCAGTTCGTACATGGTCGTTTAGCTTAACCAATTCGGGTCGTACCATCAAGCATCTAGAATTTCTAGTTGCCTCAAAGAATCAGGACTAACAAGGAATACTCTCCTTGATGTTTGATGCCGGAAAACCACTACTCCCTTGTATGCTGTCCTTGGTACTCCATCCTGTTCACCAACACCAACAAACCACAACGCATTCAATTGCAGCATGTAAATGGGAGACGAACCACTCTGAATGTTGAAGCTGACTTAATTGTTAAAACAAAGACAGCAGCATTTGTTGAAACACAGCGGGAAAAAGAGAAAATACCTTCCACTCTTCAAAAATCCCAAATTGGCGTGCAATGTTTGCAAATTCATCCTCGTCCTGGTACTGGATGCGCACATCACCCACTATGTTAAATGCCTTCAGAACAGCATCCTTTCCACGGACAAGTTTGGCCTTCCTCACTATTTCAGCAAAATGTTTTGGATATTTGTCCTGTGGAAAAGAATTACCGGACTTATTAGCTGAAATTAGGAGGGTGAAACGCCTGTTTATTTAAAATCACAACAAAGCAGCATTACCTTCATCAAGTAGCTCAAATCCATTGACATCCAATTGACCTTCACCAAAAAGCCACAAGGAAAGAAGAAATAAAAGGCAGGCCATTTTTTATGTATACGACAATTGGAAAGACAACAACAATGGCAGAGGTGGTACCTTGACATCATTTAGCTTAATGGGCTCAAGATATTGCTTGAAGAACTGTCCCAAACTAGAACCCTGCGACAAAAAAAAAAAAAAAACCATTTTGTAACAACAGAGACACCAAAAGCTGTTAGTCTGGTACTGCTAGTTTAGCATATGACAAGCTTCCAAGCATCATTTGTGTCGAAAGGGAAGGCGTGACATTGAAAAGGGAAGGTTAATTCCTATACCAAACATTAACAGATACGTAAGAATGTGTAGATGTAATTGAAATGAAACGCAAGCTTGGTGCTCTGGAGAATCTCAACATCACAATTTTTCTGCACATAGAGACTTACAACTTCACCGAAGTTATATGTTCTGCACACTTCCGGACGAACAAATTGGCGACCCTTGTGGTTCTCTTCTAATCTCAACCAGTCATCCCAGTAAGTGAATTTCTCGTCAAGGAAACTATTTGAAAGACAGAAAGATAAAATATCACTCGGGAAACCAACATAAAACTCCCAACAAAAGGATATGCTTTTGGCCATTTAGGGGAGAGTTCATCCCAAGTCCCCTTGGACAGCATCCAACCCAGTCCAGGGAAGAAATCTGAACGGTATAGTGCATCTGCAAAGTAAGTGCACAGGGTTGTATCAGAAGCCAGAAAGCTACTTAGTTATTAAAAATCACTGACAAATTTATGAGTATGCTTATTGAGTACTAGCATCAATCAAATGCATAATACACGAGAGCTACAAAGGTTTGTTTGTCCATAAAGTGAACAGAAAATAAGGGTTGTTAAGCTACCACTGTGGAAACTGAAAGAAAAGCCTTACATGGGTCATGCACAAACTGCTTCTGACCATTGTCATTCCACGAGGAAACAGCCATGATAGACCTACATTGCCAAAACATAGCCACTTCATTAAACTACTTGCACAGTTGCACTTGAATTAATTACACAAGCAAGTACATCTTTTACAGTGAATATGAAATTATTGTCTTCCCAATTAAACATACTTGTCCTTTTCCAATAACGCCGCAGCAGCCTCAAAATACTCAAAAAAATCAGGTGCTATTTCCATGTCATCTGTGTTTGAGACAGAAATTTAGGACATGGCTTTCAATGATCACATGAATCAGAAAAGGGTGAAAGTCAAAGCAAGAAGAACGAATCAACAACTTGAACCAAATCACCTTCTAGAATGATTACTTGGTTGAAATTATGCTGGTAGAACAATTGATCCAATGCCCACTTATAATGCCCTAATGGAAGGAAAGAAGCACTGATGAGATTAATCCAAGCAAGATTGTTTAAGACGGATGAGATTTTTCCTTACTTGCAATTTTATAGTATGCTATTAATTCACCAGGTCTTTCTGTGTGAACAGGTTCAGAGTCCAAGTGCTGCAAAAAGAAGATAATGGCATCTTAGATGCTGCTTTTGAATATGAACTTCCTGAAACATGATTCTACATACTGAAAAGTAGACTCAAACAGCGACATATAAATACATATGATGGCTTTATTGCACAAATAAGACAAAAAGCATCTTACCTGCATATAAACCAGCTGACTGTAACTCAAAGCCTTGCTTTTGACATCTGGATGTGATCCATCCTACAAAAGGAGATGTCATATGAGAGAAGCAGAACCAGAAACTGCGAAATGAGAAACTAGCCCAGTTAGACAGAAAAATCATTTGAAGGGAGGGACCGCAACTACCTGTGATACAAAGAGTGGAAACTTCGAAGCAACAGAGCTCTGATGCCTGTACAATCCAATCAATCTTTTAGGGATATAGACATGTAACCCAGCTTAAAGGAGAAACCAGTCATGAATAAAGCCGAAGCAAGAGACGCACTTCAAAACAGACTCAACCGTCCGTTCCAGATAATCAGCACGGTTGCAAGCCATAATGACAACTGCTGCGACGGGTGGCTAGATATGAACAAGAAGAAACTGCTTTCACAATCCTAAGCCACATGGTAAATAAACCAGAAAACAATGAAGAGGCTAAGAATACATCATCAACACCTGTACTTCAGTAACCACTTTTTGCAGGCCTTTCCCTGAAACAAATCAACAAGGGAAAATTCTAAGTCCTTTCAAAAAATGTTTCTATTGCATCAGATCAGATGTGCGACCAGAGACAGACTGATAGATATGCATACTTCGAAGATCTTCGACAAGGGACTTCAGTTCTTTACATTCATCTTCCCGACGCTTCCTTTCCTCTGAAGGAAACACAAATCTTAGTGAAATCATGGGAGCTAATAGAGGCGGGAGATTGTTTGCTGTTTTGCAGCTTAACAAAAATCAAAAACCTCCGGAAGATGGCATGCATCGACTAAAAAGCAAAGGAAGGAAATGGAACCTTCAAGGGCCACAATTTTGCCCTGCTGAGAGCTTATCTGATCAATCAATAATTTCATTTGACTTGTGCAATGGCTCTCCGATTCAACCTTGCCCCACGATGATCATACAACACAGGAAAATGCCAAGTCAGATTCCATGCAACAGAGAAAGTTCATGTTGAGTGTTGAAACAAAGGCAAGTAAGTTGGAAAGTATTAACATACAGCAGAAGCAAGGCGATCGGCATATTCGGACTGGGTGGTAAAAAGTCTCATCTGTCATAAATAAACCACAGGCCAAAAGGAATATGTACACCATCATTCTTAAAAATGATACGAATCCGAACCCTTTAACAAGTTAACGGAAATGTTCACTCAGAAAGAAGGAACAAACTGATCCCTCGTAATCTGGAATCCACAGTTCACCAGAAACGGTTGGAAGTGAATGAACAAAAAAGAAGAAGAATTGGGGGAGTAAAGGGAGAAGACCTGGATGTAGATGAACAAGACGGCAGCAGGTAGAAGAAGATATCGGAAATCGAAAGACATTCTCGACATTTCTTCCTTCCCCAGTTTCCCAAACAGCCTCCTGGAATCCCCAAGCGCCAGCCTCGTTCAATCCGTCGCAAAATCTTTATGAATCTGGCGCGATTGAAGATCACAGATTCACGAGCCCGAACCTTCCCATCCACCAGCTCAATCTGCTAATCTGAAGCAGCAATGGCGGGATGGGATTTTCCAGAGTCCACCGCGACGCAGACTTGCATACACAAAACTGACCAAATTCTTCCTTCCCTCTCGCGAATTTCAGTTTCTGTTTCTCCTTCCACCTCAATCCTCCCCCTGACTTTTCCAACAAAAGAGAGTAGTTTTTTTCTTCTTTTCCATCTGCCAAAAAAGTAAAAAACAAAAGTCACTGAAGGGAGAGAGAGGTTGCTCATTACGACGCCGTGTAGCGGAAACGACGCCGTAGGGCGCCTAATGCTTTGCCGCCGACACATCTCGGCCGTTCCTCTCTCTTCGTTTTGGGTGGCGGCTCCTCCTTTCCCTGAAGAGTCCCAGAGCCCCTGACCAACCAATCATCAAATCAAAAAACTTTCTTTTACCTAATCATAGATAGAGAGGAGGATATAGAAAGGAGAAGCAAGTCTCTCTCTTCCTTCCCTTCTGAATCCCGTTTCCCCATTTCTCCTCCATCCATACAACTCCGGGAGGGAAGCCCATCCTTTTTGACCCTTTCACTTTCATCAATTCATTCCCTTTTCATCATCTTCTTCATCTTCTGCTCTGCAAACCCAAGACCCAGTTTCTGTTTTTTTTTTTTTTTGGTGTTTACAGGTCAAATTTTGATTCCGAGCAGGAAAGCAAGCAACTTGCCTTTGCCCGGCCCGATCCATAATCATGGGGTTCGAGAGGCAGAGCAGAGCGTCGGGGTCCTCCAACGCCCTGAGACCGACGGAGAAAACCCCTCTCATCGGACACGAACAAAAGCACCTGTCTTCCCAATCGAAGACCATCGCCAATCTCTTCATCGCAATCGTCGGCGCCGGCGTGCTGGGTCTCCCTTACTCCTTCAAGCGCACCGGATGGATCATGAGCCTCCTCATGCTCTTCTCCGCCGCCGCCCTCACCTATTACTGTATGCTCCTCCTCGTCCACACCCGCCGCAAGCTCCGCTCCTTCGCCGGCGACTTCTCAATCATCAACTCCTTCGGCGACCTGGGGTTCGCCGTCTGCGGTCCCGTCGGCAGGTTGGTTGTTGACATCATGATTGTCTTGTCTCAAGCTGGATTCTGCGTGGGTTACGTGATCTTCATCGGCAACACGCTAGATAACCTGTGCGATTCCTACTCCTCCGCCGCCGCTGCCACGCCCTCTTCCAACGCCGTCTTATCCGCCCAATTCCTAGGGTTTTCGGCAAAATCCTTGTTCGTATGGGCCTGCTTCCCTTTCCAATTGGGGCTCAATTCCATCGCAACCCTCACCCATCTAGCCCCTTTAAGCATATTCGCCGACATCGTAGACCTAGCTGCCATGGGAGTCGTGATCGTGAAAGATGTAATGATTATGGCGAAGAACATCCCCGAGGTTAAAGCTTTCGGCGGTCTATCCGTCTTCTTTTACGGGATGGGTGTGGCTGTCTACGCATTCGAAGGGATCGGCATGGTTTTGCCCCTCGAGTCGGAAGCCAAGGACAAAGACAAGTTTGGAAGAAACCTGGGGTTCGCCATGGGAGTCATCTCAGTCATCTATGGAGCATTTGGTGCTCTAGGGTACCTTGCTTTTGGCAACGACACTAAGGACATCATCACTGCAAACCTCGGGGTGGGGCTGATCAGCACCATGGTCCAGCTCGGCCTGTGCATAAACCTGTTCTTCACATTCCCGCTGATGATGAACCCAGTATACGAGATTGTGGAGCGAAGGTTTTGGCAAGGGAGGTATTGCCTGTGGTTGAGGTGGCTGCTGGTGTTCATTGTCAGCTTGGTTGCACTGTTGATCCCGAATTTCACCGATTTCCTGTCGCTCGTGGGGAGCAGTGTGTGCTGTCTATTGGGGTTCGCCCTTCCGGCGCTGTTTCACTTGCTTGTGTTCAAGGAAGAGATGGGGTGGAAAGGCTGGACGATCGATGTTGGGATTGTCACCGTTGGTGTTGTTCTTTGTGTTACAGGGACCTGGTACTCTCTCATTGAGATTTTCTCTGTTAAGGTTTAAATGATCAACTCCTTTCATGTGTGTGTAAGATATCGTGGAGTTGATCGATCGTTTGAGATTTATGTGGAAGATGATGTGTTCTACGTTTAGTATAGATCATCAGGACAAAGTGTGTAATAGTATCTGTTAGTTGGGGAGAGACATTCTCTTGTTATCTTTTTTTTGTTTGGCCATGGAGAGACAGAAATGTGTGTGTAATAGTGAGAAAAAGGGTGCTGAATAATTTTGTTTTTTGCCAGTGCCTTGATCAATCCACAAACTATATTGAAGAAATGTCGCAGCTTTTGTGTTTCTTGGGAGGAGCTGCTGCTGTTGATTCCTTGATTATTACTTGTTTGTTGTTCCTACTGCATTTCCTTTCCTTCCTTTGGAACGAGGTAAACATTGCATTTGATGGGAAACAATGTTTACCATCAATTTCTGCTATTTCCCTGCAATTTCTCAGCTGCAGTACCGCTAGGCTAATCCAGTACTTCCTTTTTGTCTTTGAGAAGCGGGAAGGCCCGACCAGCAAGCTAGCTAGGTGTGCAACCAACGAAGAAGACGAATCAAAACAAGCCAAGGTAAAATGAAATGTTGAGAGATCAGATACTACTACTTTGTCGACGTAATCCAGACTTGGCAACTTGGTACTAAAAAAGGTCTAAAGCCAAGTTGGCATGGAGGTTGCCAGGTGGGCATCCCAAGTGTTTGTTTAAACACAGGTGTCCGCTTGTGGCTCTGCTCATGACACCTTTGCATGAAACTTAAGTGTCAAGCGACACCTGTGCCAGCCTAACTTCACCTCCAACGTAACCTTCCCCCCTCTCTATTTCTATCCTTCTAAATCAGTCCAGCAGCAAAGCCAGAACTAACATCAAGAAGGCTAGATAGCGAACACTTTGAACACCACTACAGGAAAAACCAGAAAAAAAGGGGGAGAAATGACAGATACCATAGGAGTCACCGGTGGTTGCAATGCCATCTGCGGCTGCCCTGTGCCCTGTCCTGGCGGGAATGCTTGCAGGTCTCTTTACTTCCCTGCTGCTTGCATTATTAACCTCTTTTTTCACACCATTCTCTTCAGTACTCAAAGCAGTTCCATGACATGTATGCAATTCTGTGGTGGTTGGGTTGAACAGGTGCAGAACAGCCGATACGACGAAGACAGCCGGAGACGGACACAACAAGTGCTCGTGCGGTGAGCATTGCGGCTGCAATCCATGCACCTGCCAGAAGGCTGGTGTGAGCACTGGGGTTGGCAAAGCCCACTGCAAGTGCGGTGCTGGCTGCAGCTGTCCAACCTGTACTGCTTAAGAGAAAGCAAAAAGAGGCGTGCCGAGTGGGGTGAAAGGAAGCTGTTCAAATTCTGATCAAGATCTTTCTTTCTATCCTTCTATTAGGGCATAGAAATTAGAAAGAACTACTTTATTCTACTGTCGTGTGAGGATCCATACTGCTGTTTCTAGACTTCTATAGTCTTACCTTCAATAAAACAGAAACTCCTGTTTCCTTGTTTGCTTGAATATTTGGATTTGGTTTCATTTCTCAAGTGACGAATATGGAAAGTGGGGAAAGTACGACCAGAACGAACAGGATTCTTGGTTAAGACAAACTGAGATCCTTGACCTTAATTAGGAAGTACAGTGCAAGCACAGAGAGCTTAAAAACTGCCTCGGAAGTCGGAACCCCTTTGAAGAACACGTTCAGTTCTCTGTTATTATGAAAGGCTCAAAGTTCCCTAATCCACCTAGGAAAGAAGCAATCACATTTTGCCGAGTACAACATAGATTCTGGCAATGCAAGGGAAATTCCAGTGTGTCCGCCATTGAACAGAAAGCTACTTTCATTGTCATAAACTAAAGACTAGAGAATGCTGGGTCCTGACCCATATCAGTCTCATCTACATTCTGCACTAATCTGAAACACTCACTATGCTCCTTCCACTCTTCCTTGTCAATATACCTCTCATAGAACTTCACCTCGCCGTCCCTTCTCACCAACACAACAGATGTGCTTCTAGTCCCATATCGCCCCTGCCAGAAAAGGGACAAAGTTAGAAGCTTTTCTTAACAAGTCGGAGAAACGGGAGAAGAGCAAGGAAAAGAAGCTTTACGGATGGTGCATGAATGTCGACAAAAATGGAACTCAATTGGTATTCATAATCAGGAGGGTAGACTCCAGGCAGCAACGTCTTATCCTCTGTCTTCACTGTATTCGTCATCAGTGTTTCGGCCATCTCTTTTGCCGGAACTTCTTCTTGCTCGCCGTGTCTGTCCATGAATTCCTTTAAGCTATGTCTAAGCCTTTGAGCCTACAGCAGCGCAAAAACAACAAAAAAAGCTCCAAATGACAAACCCTTGTGCGGTAGATGAACCGAACCAAGATGAAACAGATAAGGAGACTGACTGACCTTGGGCCATGGAGAATCGAGGCTAGCATTGGATAGGACGTGGATACCAGGTGAAACCTCTGTGATTGCATCATCGCCGCTGTTTGATTTGGCTCTGTTGGTGATGTAAACCATGGAGTTGGAACCAACATCAGCTATTACCAAGTTAAACCCATTGTAGCTATCCATCTCTTCCGCGAGCTCCCTAGCAAACTCCATTGGGGTTTGCTGGCTCTGCAAACATAGAGAAAATTGGAAACCAACCCAAATACGTGATCAAATTGGGCAATTCATTTTGTCAAAGAAGTTTAACACTTTTTTCAGTTCAAGCTACTGAATTTGCGTTCAGAAAATCCACCTGTAGACTAATGGGGGTAGTGGGGATAATGGAATGAATACCTGTAAGAAGCGAAGTGGGAGGTGGCCTCGGCTGTTGGCGGCGGCGGGGAGAGAAGAGACCTCCCTAACGTTGGTGATGAAAGCAATCCTGCCATCTCTGGTGGCGGCCAACCATGTCCCGCCGGCCTTCTCGTCTCGCCCACCCAGAAATTCAATTGCTCCGTCGCCGCCGCCGTCCCTCCACCATCCCAGCGGCGTCGTCGGCCTGCGATCGATTGAAATAAAAGGAAAACACTAGGAGCTGAATGAAAACGCCGCAGAAATCTGGGTAAAGGATGAATTGGAATTAATTACCAACCGGCTATGGAATTCGTCTCGGTTGAGCAACAGGAGGAAGGGATAGAGCGGATGAGCTCGCCACAGGAACACGGCTATGCACATGGCGGTCGCGGGCTGGCTTTTGCCTGATCCTCTGCTCAAAATCTTTTTCCTACTGTTGTTCTTTTCGTCAGCTGTACTCTGTATTGTTGTGGTGCCGCTTGCCTTTCAGGAATCGTCGATTAACTGTTGTTGCTCGTCTTATTTGATTTCTAACTGCATCGGCCTCCGGATTCTTCGTCGTCATCCTCCATGTCCATACCCATACCACAACGCGGGCAACGGAGCGGACAACGACAACTTTAATCGTAATTAACAATAAGGATAATACCATTAAAATTTGACATTTATATAACATAAGTTCGTCATTACACAGGAAAACAATGGCGCATCGCTTGCTTTCAAAGGCCAACCGGATACAGTATAACTCAGTATAAGTGTCTAACCTCTATAAATTAATATAGGCGTGGCCGTGAAAATTATTAATTTATAACAGTTATTAATTAATTGATAAAGTAATCATCATTAACTTAAAGAGGTTTTTCTTATGATTCACGTTCATTTATGAGTTATCGTAACAAGATGGATGTAAGTCATTTGTTGGAGTATTCAGGTGAAGATGATAAATGTATAAACGTTTAGAAGAAATTGTGGCTGATGTCATTGGGGTTCAATTGAGGAGAAGGAGATGACAATTCAACACCTTTGGAAACGGTGACGCGAAAGGAAGCACTTAGATCCGCATTGACTCTTCAAAAATACTTGATGCAATTAGATAAGACAACACCAGAGACTTTGAGTGCAATGAGGAAAGTTCAAGATGAACACTTATTAGACTTGAACTTCAAGAATAAACAAACAACTATATATTCATATTTTCAAGATTATCCTAGCTATATTATAAATTTTTATGAATATTTTTACAATTATTAACTTATTGAGTTAAAAATACATATATTTATGCAGGTTGGTTCTAAAAAATTATTATCTTATTATTTTATCAAATTTGCTCATTTTTTACACCGGCCCAGGTCCGGACCGGAGAAATATTATTTTATACTAGGTTATTAATTTATCGATTATTAATTTAAAGAGGTTATATTGTATTGAGGTCTACCGAAAAATTAAACTATTGACAATTCAATTGACGAACTAGACCTCTTAGTTTGCAGGTCGATCAAATGGAAGACGAGTTGCCGACACCGAAAAGGATTTGTTATATTGGTCAACAACTTTCAAGAGAACACGCTAACCAATAGATTTGGTGCTTGTTCCAGTCAACCGGCCAAGTTGTGCAGGTGGACAGGATTTGGAAAACAGAATGTTCATAGTTGAAATCTCACAAATCACATTACAAATATTCTAATTCAACCCACAACCATAGACCATAGTTGTACAAAAACAAATAGTCTACACCGCTCAATCCAAAAACCTAAAACACACTTCATAACGATCGACAAATAGCTCACATCCAAAACATAACAAATAAACTCAATTTATACAAACAGATAAAATGCATAATGTCTACATGGAGCTAGGGATGGCAATGGGTAGGGTCGGGTGCGGGTTTACCCTATACCAACTCCTAACCCGCCAGGTAGAGCCTTCTAAAATACCCGACGAAATAACCACCGGGTATGAAGATTATATAACCATACCCTACCCACCGGGTAACCACGGGTATTCGGGTAACCATGAGTACGAATCCTAAACTATGAACTTATACACATATATGCACATACATACTGTTGTCCATTAAAAATTCTCAATACTTGTAACTGTTCTAGCTTCAACAATCCACACAAATAAAAACAGCAAACACATAATAATTGTTCTTGCTTCTACAATCCACACAAACATAATAATCGTCTACATCTTCATCATCAATAATGGTAGCTAAACTCAATTTCTCAAGTTAAACTAATTTCTCAAGGGAAATTGACCATTTGGTTAGCGGGGCGGGTATAACGGGACGGGTATAATCGATAACCATACCCGTACCTTACCCTTTATTTTGAAACCGGGTATTACCCGTACCCGCCCCTTAACCCGTCTAAGCGGGTAATTACCCTCGTTGACCGGGTACGATCGGGTAGGGTACCCATGGTTACGGGTTGGATTGACATCCCTACATGGAGCCATAGATGGACATGTGGGTGGTTAATCCGCGGTTTCCCATGCATGGAAAGTTGTCGCTTAAGTGGGAGAGTGAAGATATGCAAGCTACTACGGAGCACATGACTCATGAAGAAGGGTTGACACGAGTTGGAAATGGCGGTATTGGGGGATTCGTTCAGCTCCCAGAGGGTAATTGGAAACGTCGTAAACGAGGTTGGCGTCGATGGACATCCACTCTCTTCATGGTCATCAACACGTGGGAGCGATTATTTTTCATTGATTCGGGTTGAGACGACGCCTGAAACAAGGGGACGAGGTTCTTCAAAGGGAGGAGGTTTGGTGCATTATAGCACCGGAACCATTATTATTATCCTCCTTAATTATTTAGATTATTCATTATTAGTAGTCGTTTTAGGAGATAATTGAGGCCGGTTTTAAAATTGGGTTGGGATTAGACGTAGATGACGACAATTACTTGGTAGAATCGGATAGGGTTAGCTACTATGGTTTTCTGTGTTTTCCTATAAATGTACTTTGTGGTTCAGTTACCATTATGAGAAAGAAAAATATTTCATTTTATCGTTATGTTTCTTTAGGAGAATGCAACACCACCCCTATACCCAACCCTCTTCTCCTTCCTTCCTTTACCTTCCTCCACAAGATACCTTATTCCCCCTAATTCGAATCCCTAGTCTCAATCAAATATCTAATCCCAATTCAATTTAACTACAAAAGGACTAACAAAACAAAACGATGGCAACGACTAGACACTATTATGCGGTGACAAACCTCCCCATACTTGAGTTGAGACTTCAATTGATTAAAGATGGCCTCAGAATTGCCCTTTCTCGGGACCGCCATTTGACTCAGAAACAGAAACAAAGCCTGACAGTATCACCAGCTGCCAGTAGCTCAGCCAATATGGATTAAGAATGCCATTTTGCTTATTCGCAGAAGTATGGGGAAGTGGCATCCAATGATGTCTTGGACAACAGCAGTGCACCATGTTAACACATATCCCGTTGGAATGAAGGGTTTCCCTTGGATCCATTTTCTTCTCCACTCGAGTGCTGGGATCCATTGAAGGACCTCCCTTTGCCAGCAATCTCTCGACGGCAATTCTGGTTCCATTAGTGCCCACCGCATACACTGAAGTTGAGCTCTCTTTTTGAAGGCTGACCCTTTCCAGCTGAGGCCTAAACAAGGCAGGGCTCTGAAATTGAGGATGACTAAATCCTCCAATCGACTGAATCACAGTGGCGCACAGTCAGAGAAATTCAGACTCAGTCAGCCTGTGAATGGCAAAATGGATCATGCTAAGGCATTTTATACCATGAAGTGCAATACAGGACCCAGAATTTAGTAAAAACGCAGTGATGGCATCAATTCTTACCGACTGATTATGATGAATTGGCTGAAAGCCACTGATTGTACTCATCCATCCTTATCATGAAGGAACTGGAACTTGGTGAACCACCACCCCCATATGCCTTCATGTTCAATAAATCAAAGAGAGCCCGAGTGAAAATGAGTGCTGACGGAAAATACATTAGAAAGCTACCGTAGCACATGAGTGAAACCTTTGCAACTTCAGAGGTATCAGTAGAAGCATCGGTACTCCTCAAGCACATCTTAAGATTGTTCCGGTGCATGTAGACAACTGCTCCAATCGGCCTGAAATTACAAGAGAATTTGATAAGTAGTTATGGTTCATCATTCAGATGTTAAAATAGATTCAAAGGCAGTCATCACACAAACTGCAGCAAAAAGCCCTCTGGCCAGAAAAATTGCTCAGATGCACCAGAAACAGCAAAGAGATGCTGTGCATTTTGCATCAAGAGAATTATTATTCAATGAACTTGCAGTACCTTAGTATATCATGATGCATGAATGCTGTATGCTCATCATGGCACTACTCTAGAAACAAGTTGGAACCCCTGGACAAAATTATTGGTACAAAATCGAGATAAGAAATTAATGGTACCTCAGACCAACTGCAGCACTTCTAACACTTAGTTCCTTGCCAAGCAGTTCACTCAACTTAGAGTTGCCATCGGCTCTAACTCCCTATACTCCAGAAGAAGAAACAGCAACAGGAAAATGTCAACCATAGATAGTGTGGAGTGTGATTAATTTGGATATACAGGTTTAGATTATCTGCAATCCAAAGAGGGAAAACGAGACATAATGGATAGAAAAACACACTAAATATATTTGATTACCAGGCATTCCCCATAAAATCCTCTGCCCAATCGTACTTTGAAGACTATATCCAGAAGCTTGGTGGCAGCATCCCGGTCAGAAGAAATATGTGAATTTCCTTTCGCAATTAAATCAGCAGCGGTCAGCTCTAGCAACTGAAATCAAGGGCCACGACTAAATGACAAACGCTATGGTCTGAGCAATGTAAACCAGTTAACTGCAATTCAGCAACAAAAGAATCGCACAGAAAACACACTAAAATCTGTTTTTGTTTCCTCATCTTTTCTTCTGACCGGATTTCAGAACTTCATTTTGAACTAAGCGAATACAAATTTTAGCCAAGGCTACTAATCACTTCTCAGCAAGAAAAAGCTCACACTGTAAATCAACTTTGTCACTTCGGTCTTACCCTTGCAAATCCAACAACTTAGCAAGAACTAACTAATCAGAACAGAAACGAAAACCGTGTGTTACAGCATTCAGAAATGACAAACAAAATAATACAACAGTTGAAAGAAGAAGATGAGCATGAAGTTGACCTCTTCAAACATGTAGGGGTTAGTGATGCAATTTATCCTCTGCCTCCATTCACTGAAACCAATGTTAAAAGCTCTAACGTCTGGTAAGCTCCACCTCAGAAGGTCGCTATCTTCAATATAACTCAAAATAGTCTCAACACGAGCTTCGTCTTCCGCGTTCAATAATTTGGCTACTTGGTCCTTATATCTGTTCTACAAGGAAATAAAATTACATTTGATCAGCATTATGGTCGACATTAGAAATGTGAATCAGACTCTCTCGTTCTCGTATAAACCCAAAGAGATACTTACTTCAGACAGCTTGCATTCTTCAGCAAGCTTGTCCGCAAAATAGTTGTACGCAGCTCTAGAGCTGCTCTTCTCATGATCAACACAAAATCGAACGTTCGGTTGACTATCATCATCCGGAGAACGAATGCGCGAAATCGCAGACTTCCGGTGCTCGAAAGCAATCACTCTATGCATTAAGAAAACAGCACAGCAACAGCCACGAAAACAAAGATTAAAAAAGCAAGAAGGAACTACTTGCTTGAGCAAAACCATTCTCATACGAAATTTGGCGAATCTTATACTTACTCGCACATGGACCGTCGAGATATTTGAGCAGCGAATCCGCGTGGACCAGCGAAATCGAGAAGATAGCATCGCTGGAGCCCTTCTATGTACAAATCTTCAGCCCTAGAATGAGAGCAACAAAGACAATGTCGAAAAAGAAGAGGAAAAGATGGAACGAAAAATTACAGGAGGAGAGAGTACAACTGCGGGAGGTGAACGGAAGAGAAGCATGGAAGTAGGAATTTACCTGAGGGGCACGGCGGAGGAGTAAGGCAAGACGAGGAAAGGGAGGCAGAGGCGGGAGTGGAAGCGGTGAGCAAAGAGAGCGGAGAAAGCTCCGGAGAAGGATGGATAGTTGTAGAGGATGAGGTTGCGGATCCCGTCCTCTCTAGCCTTGGCCACGGCCTTCAGAGCTGCATCGGACCGGAATCCCCGAGCTCGAGCGGGTGAGAAGAAGCACAACGCAACCTGCTGCAGTCTTCGGCGGAGAATCGGCGCACTCATTTTCTGGGACGGTGACACAAATGCGTCTCAGCGGCAAGCCGGCAAGTACTTTTCCCGTCTCGTTGGTTTTGGATTCAGACCGGTCGAACCGGGGTTAACGGGTAGATTTGATATTATGGTAATAATAGGAGGGCAAGTGTGATATAAAAATATTGTAGAGGAGCAAGTTTGAGAAAAAAATCCAATGTTGTCAGATACATGAAGAAAAGTTGTGCTTAGATCGGACGGTGACGAGGAGCATGGCACAAGCTTTCCCTGTTGCTGCGAACACGACCACGACCCCATCACTAGCAGCGCCAACTCTGGGACGAGAGCCACATCCACCGTCAAGGCGCATTGTTAGTAATATGGCGCATGAGGAAGTTGCTAAATGTCGACGCGATGGATTGTGCTACAATGGTGATGAAAAAAGTATACGTATGGGCATCGTATGTTTCCGGTTCCCCCTGCTCTTTGTCGGCTTCTTGATAAACACGTGGCCCAATTTTGGTGGGGTGCTGCAGAGGATCATCTCAAGATTAGATGGGTGTCCTGGAGGAATATGTGTAGGAGCAAGCATGAGGGGGGAATGGGATTTCGCCAGTTTGAGCATTTTAACCAAGCTCTGTTAGCTAAGATCGGCTGGCGTATTCTGAATGAACCTCAGTGTCTCCTTGCCCAAGTTTATAAAGGGAAATACTTTCCTCTTGGCTCTTTTCTCAATGCAACTGCGCGATCTCGACCATCTTGGGGGTGGCAGAGTATCCTTTATGGGCGCCAGTTATTGGAGAAGGGGGTAAGATGGCAGATTGGCGATGGCCTCTCGGCTTCTCTTCTCCATTCAAATTGGATCCCTTGCTACCAGCTTGACGCCCCTTGCTATAATCCGATGATCCTTCCTGATGGGGGGGATCCCTTGGTGGCGGAGGTTATATGTCAAGGGGAAGGACGGTGGTATGAAACGAAGTTGAGTCAATGGTTTGATTCACCTACTTGCAAAGCCATCCAGGCTATTCCTCTTCCGCGTCGGAGTATTGCAGATAAGCTTATTTGGCACAACACAGCTGATGGGGTTTTTCGGTTAAATCCGCTTATCATTTGGCTGTTGATTTAGACAGGAGGAGGGGTGGGTGGAGGTCTGAGGTTAGTTGGATGGACAAACCTAGTTGGATCAGGGTTTGGGAAGCTAAGATACCCTCGAAGTTGAAGGTCTTCGTTTGGCAAATTCTTAATCGGGTTCTACCTACAACAGAGGCGTTGATTGAGAGAAAGGTTCCTGTGTTGTCCCGGTGTCCGGTCTGCTGGGATGGCCCGGAGACGATGGAACATCTGTTTCTTTATTGTCCGTTCGCGCGAGCTCTTTGGGACTATTCTGGGCTGGATTATCTGGGAGAGTGCTTGCCTCGCCATACGTTCCCCCTATTCCTCAAGCGTCTGTTGGCCTTAATCCATCAGCCATCGTTGGTTATGGCAGTAGTTGCTGTCCTTTGGCGGATCTGGCGGTCGCGTAACTGGGTTGTCTTTGAAGGCAAACAGTTTGGGATTCCGGCGCTAATGCGACAATTCCATCAGCAGGTTGAGGAATGGGTGGCCTTGCCCCTAGAGCAGGCGCCTACGGCGGCAGGGCCAAGGGTTCAGCCAGTTTATGTTGAGGATTCACGTGTGGTTTGTAGGTGGGATGGGGCGACTAGGAGGGGATCGCACTCGGCTGGTGGGGTGGTTCTTCTCACGCATGAGAGACTACTTCTGGCAAAGGGGGTTCAGTTTCCTGTTGTGGATGAGCCTGCTATGGTGGAGTTGCTCGTGCTGCGAGAGGCTATTACCTGGTGTTTGGAGTGTGGGTTCACGGAGGTCCGGTTTGAGGGTGATGCCAAGGTGCTTATTGATAAAATTAATCAGCCCGACACGAGGGACAATCGGTTGGGGGCAATCCTGGAGGAAATTGGTCATTATTTGCGTGCCCAGCCGGGGTTTAGTGTGCGATTTATAGGTCGGGAGAACAATAGGGTAGCTCATTCGGTAGTTAGAAAAGCCCTCTCTTTGTATCCGACTATGTGTCGTTTGTTTGATTTCAGAGCCTGGCTGGTTTCCAGGATGTAACTATCTTTTTATCAATATATGATATCTTTTGACAAAAAAAAAAGAGCCAATGCAAATGTCTTCATCATGATTGAGAACTTCAAGGAGGAACACGACGAAGAGGAGGTGGTCGAAGAGCAACCTCGGGGATGAGGTTGTTTAAGGGTGAGGATTGATGCATTATAGCATCGTCGGATTAAATAAAAGATATTAAGATCAAGGATCAAACCATTATTGTATTTCGCTCGCGAGTCAAATAACAATTCACTAAAAAAATTTCCACTATTTATGAAACTATTAGCCAAAAACCGAATCGCATTATATTTGATACAATATGGTCCGATCCATATTTCCATTTGGTCCATCTTGGTTCAAATTTACAAGCTTGAAGTTTCCCAAAAATACCAATAGCAATCCTAAAAAAAAATTAAACCCGTCCTAAAAAAAAATTAAACCCACAATTAAAATTTAAAAAGAAACGAAAAGAATTGGAAAGTGGTGGTGGGAGGAAAGAGTGACTGAGGGAGGGGGCAGGGCCCTTCGCCCCGTTGTTTGTTAGTTGGCTGTAGAGAGAGAGTGAGGAAAACGGAAGAGAGAGAGAGAGAAATCGACAGCGAACAGAAAACAATGGGAAAGAAGGCAGCTGTGGAGGAAGGGAAGAAGAAGAAGAAGAAAGGGCGACCTTCCCTCTTGGATATCCAGAAGCGCAACTTTAAACTCCAACAAGAACAGCTACAGCTACAGAAGCCCAAGCATCGAAATCCCAATTCCTCCCCTGCTCCTTCTTCCCGTGTTCACGACTCTTCCCTCCTCCGCCGATCAGCCCGTCGCTCCAATCCGGCGGCCAGCGCTCAAGCAGACAACGACGGCCACGACCAATTGGGTCCAGCCAAGAAGCCCAAGCTAACCGATTCCAATTCCTTGGACACCGGCCCAGCCGATTCCGGCGACGGCGGCGGCGATTCCTCCCCAGCCGCCAATCACAAGAAGAGGAAAATTAATGCAATCCCTTCCAGATCTGGAATCTCGCTCGCCCAAAAGGTCTGCGCATCACTCTCCTTGCCCACTCTGCCTTTTCCCCCCCAAATTCATTCGCTCTTTTTAGAATTTCTCATCTGTAGAGGGAAAATCGGAATTGGACAAGCGCTAAAAGATACTCTGTGCCTGCCGTGCGCTTCCTTAGATTGGGAGCTGTATAAATATAGCTGTCGTTCTTTTTATTTGGTGGGATTTGACTCCTCGTACTGCGGGCCTCTGTAGTAAACCCTCCAAATGGAATTCAGCGAAAGCAGTTGACTTTCTACCCGCTCTCAGCCTCCCACCCTTTCCCTCAATTTTCCCTTCTCGGATTTCGGTAACGTAAAATCATGTACTAACTGCGTTAAGAGCTCTCTTTTAGTAGCTCCCCCAACACTACAGATTGGAGATGGGAAGGATGGAGTTTTGGGACCTTTTGTATATTTGTTCTAGGGTTGCAGCAAGCTCGGTAGCTAGCTACATTGGAAAGAATTTAATCCTGTCTTTTTATTAGGTGGAATAATAATGATTTCTGACCATCATATCTTGATGGGAAAACAACATAAAGTGTAAATTTGTCTTTTCCTTCCATCACCCGGTATCTGATTTTCCCTTTTCGGCAGCTCAATGCTGCTGCCACTTAGCCTTTTTCAAACCCAGCTCGGGGAACTGTGTGGTTTAGGTCCATTTGAGCAGTAACAAATAACTCTAGGAAGCTCGTTATCTTCTTCTTCTTACTTGGTTTACTTGATTTCCCCTTGCATAGTCAGACAAGTCTACTTCTGAGGCCAATCAAGCAGATGATGTCCAAGGTTTGTGATTCCCCAGCTGATTTAAATCTACCCATTTGAATATACAGGTCAAAGTCTCAAGCTTTTTATTTGATTGTGTGTTTTCTGTGTTTCCGATATCTAGAATCTGTCCCCTGCACTCCTTTACCTGACAAAAAGTTACTCTTCTTCATCCTTGAGAGGCTGCAGAGGTAAATGCTTTGCCTTGGTTCCAGTACTCTGTTGTTTCCTAGCTTTTCTTACTGAAAATTGAGTGCTATTTGGGTAACTGTTGTTGCAGCAAGGATACATATGGTGCATTCTCGGAGCCTGTGGACGCAGAAGAGGTTAATATCAAGTCTAAAAGATTGTTATTTACAGTGAGCTTTGTTAACTTCTCTCTGAATGCAATCCTGACCTCCTGGTCTTTTCTGAAATTCCGCAGCTTCCAGATTACCATGAACTCATTGATAATCCAATGGATTTTCGTACAGTTACTGAGAAACTTACTGAAGGAGTTTATGCCAGCTTGGAACAGTTTGAGGTTGGTCTTGAAACCAATACTTGGGTCGATTTAAAATTTTTGCTGGTTGCTTTGAGTGCTCATATCAGTTATTCGACTCTTAAAGCTGTTACGTGTGTCATAGTGGCCTCAAAAACATTACCATACCTTGTTTTGTACTTTTCACTGATAATCTAGTATTCTGGAATTTGTCTCTATCTGTCATTTATTATGCTCTTCATCATGATTTATCTCAGATTTTTATCAGATACAACCTGAATGTTGATCTTTCTACTCAATGGTTGTCAGAAGAATGCTTTAAGAATGAAGTGGCTAGGAGTTAGTACCCACATTTCACGAAGAGTTAGAATTCAAACTTATGCTTGCATTTTGCAGCAGGATTCAAGAAATGGCACTTAGTTAACTATTAACGGTTGGACTATTATTCAAATGGCGGAACTTATCAAGTTTGAGGCATTTCTGTGATTTATTTTCAACTAATGTGCTCTTACTCGGTGATCACAATGGTTAAAGAAATTTAACTAGTTCGTCAGTTCAATTGAGTTCCACTTCTGTTTTTCTTACCTCTTGAAGGAATTGCTATTTGTAGCTCTTCTACTTGATGTCATTCTGCTTGTGTATTGAAAAGTTTGAATTTCTTATCATTTTGTGAGGAATATAAACTTTCTTCTTCTTGTCATGCAGAAAGATATTTTCTTAATTTGTTCGAACGCAATGGAGTATAATGCCCCCGATACAATATACTTTCGACAGGTATAATGATCGGCTTCTTAAACACCAGATTGCCTACATTCTGACCAACTGAATGATTTATTCTGAAGCTTCTGTTATCATCTTATCAGGCACGAGCCATTGAAGAACTGGCTAAAAAGAATTTTGAGAACTTAAGGCAGGATAGTGATGATAATGAACCAGCAACACATAAAGTGGCAGTAAGGAGAGGTAGACCACCAACCAAGAACGTCAAGAAAAAGCCTGGTCGTCCTGCTCAGGGACAACGTGCTTCTGAGCCTTCATCAATCAATACAACTTCTTCTACTGCTGACAAAGAAGGTGCCATTCGGTTGAATTCTGCTGATCTCAGGAACTTTGGCTTGTCTAATGGTTCTGGCAATGATGCGGGTGAGAACAAGCTATTAGATAGGAATAATGAAGCCACAGGTTGGTTGGAACTCTTTTTAATTGCAGCTATCAGAACCATATATCATTTTCTTTTTGTGGCGGGAGTTAAGGCTTCTGTTTTTCTTTTTGACTTCTGTTGCAGGTTTTTTTCTTAGAGGTAATTCTAATTCACTGAAGAATGGGAAAAAACTGCTTGTGTTGGATGAGAATAGGCGCGATACGTACATGCAATTCCTTGAATCAACTAATGGACGAGAGCCATCAGTGCTGGCTACTTTTCATTCAGAGAGGAGGCAACTAGTAGCAGTATGTATTGTTTATTCTGTTCTTTATGATTATTTGTTTCTTGACGTGCTTAGTTAACGGGGGCACTTATTGGGCTTGTGTGCCTGTAATGCTAACCTTATCCTCAGAAGAAATGAAAGTAAAATGAAAGGCCATCAGGAATGGGAAAAAAAATAATCTTCAAAGCATGACGAAAGAAAATTACAGGAAATCATGAATATAAGCATCATATGAAATGACATGATGATATGTTCCTGAGAATAGGAATAAAATATATCGTCATTGGTATTTTCACTGGGACATCATCTATATTTCCTTTATTATTCACTTTCTTTGAGTGAGCCACTTTGAGCCTTGAGGACTGGGGAACTTTTGAAAAGTCCAACCTTCCTAGATAATAGAATACTAATGCTTAAATAAAGAACATAGAAGAATAAATCCAATACTCCTGCAGTGATACATGCTAGGCCATAACACAAAATTTTGGGTTTTAAAGTTAAAAATGGCTGTAGAACTACATCGGTCATTGCTGTTTAACCTCACTGTTACTAGCACTCTTTGCTTTTAATTGACCGAAGTTTGTGGTGGAATCTCCACGGCCGCTGGGTTTTGTTGGCTAACTTTGCTCCTGTATTTTGTATGAATCAGGTAGGGCTTCTTACAGAGTATGGTTATGGAAGAAGCCTTGCACGATTTGCTGCAAATGCTGGACCTGTTGTTTGGAGAATTGCATCAGCTAAGATACAGAGGTCTTTGCCACCAGGGGTCCAGTTTGGGCCCGGATGGGTTGGAGAAAATGATATCCCTCAACGAAGGCCAGTGTTTCCTTTTCCATCGTCATCTTCAGTTCTTCCATCACCGTTGAAGCCTTGTTCTCCTCTCCCAGCTTCTGGCTCCGTATCAGAAGGGGATAATTCATTAGAGAAACCTCCAGAAGATAATCGTCCTTCTGTATTAGAAGATCCATCAGGTAATTCTGAGCTTCCATCTCGTTCAGCGTCCGCATCCCATCTCAGTGGCAGTGAATCTGAATCCCAGATACGAAGTGCAGAAGCAACAGGTGAATTGAACCATAATCATGGGTTGAATGCACCAAACGGCGGCAGCATGGATGTAATTACCAATGAAACACCACCCGTTGAAGCTCACGAGAGCCAAGTTATTCACCCTGGCATGAACGGATTGAATGGGAAACATGTCCTCCAACCTGCCCCGGACAATCGCTCGACCGCAGAAAATCAGAAACATGTTAGTTCAGCAACGCCAGAGTCTAGAGACGAGGCTATAGAACAGAAAGTAGAACTAGACACATCAACTCAGCAGCAGAAAACAGAATTGCACCAACCTGGCCTTTAATCTCGGGTTTCAGTCAGCAGGGGTCGTCTAGTTCAAGCCGTGTTGATTCAGCACAACAACCAGATTAACCATTGCAGCTGTGAGAGGTGAATGGTGTTATTCATTCTTTTGCTCATGAGAAATCTTGTTAAGGTTAACAATTTAGAAGGGTGGGGGGGTGCTGGATTTGGCGTTTGTGCTGCTGGACTCAGACCAGTGAAGGGGGATGTCCTCTAGGACTGGAAGCCATCCAAGCTCTTCACCTGACTATATATGTATTGTTGTACAATGTAGGCTGTATTCTGTACAGATAAACGATGTACCCTAATTGTTAGGTTCACAAGCCAGTGATTAGAAGGGGAGGGAGAGGAAAGGAGAAAGAGTGGAGAGTAGGTTGGTAAGTGGTAACATCATTTGAGGAAGGGAATAAAAAAGAAGAAAATGGGGCTGATTCGTTCCTGAATGTAGCTGTAGGCTGTAGCAGTAGCAAGAGTATTGCAGCAGCTCTGGTTTATGGTTAGTAAGAACTGCATATTGTAAGCTGAGTGAAAGTAGTCAGCAGATCTGGAATAGTGAAAGGGCTGAGCCCGTTAATTGGATTACAAGTCATGTCGCCTTATTTTCTGTTTGTAACGGGATGAGATGACTTTTGGTTCCTTCATAGGTAGCCCAAAAGATGAAGTTGAAGTTTCAAAACTGCATGTGAACGCGGCCTCGAGAAATTTCAGAGAGCTTGCCCATGTCAACCCAACCTTTGTATTTTTTTTTTTATTCTTTTCGCGATTCTGTTTTGTTTCTGGTAACCATCAATCCAACGATATCAACGCGCACATTCATTGCCTATCAACAAAACAACGACTAAATTGCAACTGGGGAGCTGACAACGTAATACAACGTGTAGGGAAAAGTATGGAACACAATTTGGGGTTTTGGTAGGGCTGGTTATTTGGTCCGGACTATTTGGTTTTACCCGAAACCGGACCGTATAACTCGGACCGGAACCGGATAGCAAACAATCCAATCTCATCTTCGGGCTTAGATTTGAGGTAAAAAATTGTTTGAGACCGGACCGAAAATCGGATAAGAGAGTCCAACACCAAAAACTTAACCAACTCTTCACCCTTTGAGGCATCAAGTCACTCAATTCCCCACAAGCTCAATCTAAAATCAAGACCGAATTGAGACCGGACCGGATCAATACCGAACTGTATCCAATCCAATCTTTGATCCTTATATTCCCGAAAAAAAACCAAACTGAGACCGGCTCAATACGGACCAATTTAACCGGACCGGACCGGACCGTATAGCCACCCCTACTAGTTTTGGGAGACTTAATGCCGCAACATCATCCAAAAAGAGGCCCCCCTAGCTACTTATGTGAATCTAATGGAGTTCGGCTGATGCGATATGAGGCTCAAGAAGCTGCTGCCCACGTTTGAAGAGAAGAGATTGGATTGCTATCTTTGGAAGCACTCCACAACAAGTGTGTTACGTATGAATATTGGGAAGCATTGTCAACGCATGGAGCCGTCCTTTCATTTTCCACAAAGTAAAGTCAACAGTGGTGGCAGACTGTCAAAGAAGCGCAATTTTCATGAACGACTGACTGAATGTGCAGCAAAGCAGTTTGCCTACAGCCACAGTCTTGCAAAATGGGATGAAGCGAAGCGAAGCGAAGCGAGCAGGGAACTTCCCCTTCCTTTTCTCCACCGCCTCGGTCACTCTCCATGTTTACCGCCAACAACCCCGCCCGAGAAGGTCAAGTGATTTTTAGGGGCCTTACTCACTTGCTTAGACAGTTATTGATAGACTCTTTTTATTCGTGTAGATTCCGGGGAGGAAAAATTATAAGGTGAACAAAATTTTGAGGGGAAGGAAAATGTAATGGAAAAAATATTGTTTTATGAGGAATATTGAAAGTAAAAGCGAAGGAAAATTTATATTGTGAAGTGTGATATATATGGTTCAGTCTAGTGTACGTCGGATTTAGGGGGGGTCGTCCCCGGATCATGGGTCAGTCTTTCTCTGGATCTCGAGCTAGTATAGCAGTTGAAATTTCCGCTTTTTAGTATTCGTTTCAATGTTTTTCACGATACGGCACAGCCCTCTCCGCCTTTTTTCAAAGGTGGCCCAGTTCTCTACCATGTCCTGGATCCGCCGCTGCGCCAGACATACGTTTATCTTATCGTATGCTCGTCGAGTTTTGTTATTTAGACGATGAATTAATCGGAGTTTGGGGCATGATACTACACCCTAACCTCTAATGGGTGAACCTCAGTCCCCAATTGTCTAACCCAACCCATTAGATTCATTTAATCTTAAAATGAAAACCAACGGTTGTGATTCGTCGGAATTATTCAAGTACATATAATAGGTGTGAACGCAGGCATATAGTATACGCCAGGCGTACGTGATAATCGTAGCGTAGGAAGATTCGTAACGAAGATAAGAACGAAATGAGATGGGATTTACGTGGTTTCCTTATTCGATCAGATCGAACAAGACTAGTCCACGGGCATGATGTATCTCTCTCATTTCTGTAGTTCTCAACGATGTACCGTAGGTTACATATATACCAGTATCGGCTATCTACTCTCTAGCCGAGAGTTCTACACGACAATAGACACTTTTTGGCCGCAACCCTTACACAGGCCAAAGGCCCTATTATATTCGAGATCCACTTACTCAACAGCCTCCCCCAAATTGATGGGGGAGTTCTCTTCATCAATTTGCTTGCTAAAAACGAATGATGACTAACAGAGAAGGCTTTGGTGAATATGTCTGCAAGTTGATCTTCTGAGGGAAGATAGAAAATCCGGATCATCCCATCTCTAACAAGATCTCGAATATAATGAACATGTACCTCCATGTACTTCGTACGATCATGTAGAACTGGATTCGTCGCAATATGAATCGCACTTGTGTTGTCGACATAGGATGTTGATCCATAACCAAGATCCACCACCATCTTGGATGGTTGCCTTCCTCTTGCTTTCTTGACTTGATGCTCCTTGTTTCCCCTCCACCATCTCACAATGATGGGTCTTCACATCTCCTTATTTCTTGAAAGTCTTCTTAGAATAGAACTTCAATGATTTGTAGCACCGATTTTGGATATGGATGCTTTGGATCTTCATGAGTTTGTGTGAGGAAAAAGAAGAGGCGGTGTCCTCCCTTTTATAGAGGAGCGACCAGTGGTACCACTGTCCATTTCCTGCTTGGATATAGACTCTTTCGATTACTTTTGCATGTAGGACAAGGAAGCAACATATAGGGTGGTAGAGGGGAACGGGGGTGATGTGGCTGGTTGACCTGCCATTCTTTTGCTTGCGGAAGATGGTTTTGCTTGGCTCCTTGTGTAGGAGAAGGATATTTTTCACTGAGAAGGCCTTTTTCGTAGCGGCGGTTGGGCGACAGTTGGGGCCTCCGCTGCTCTTCCTTCTCATTAACTGAGTTTATTTTCCTTGTTCTTGAAGGATTATTCATATGAGAGGGGTTTTTACACCATTAGATCTCCTTGATCCATTTCTCCCTTCATTTCCGTATGGATTTTTTAAAAGAATCAAACCATCAAAGCAACAAAACACAGAGAGAGCAAGTGCTTCTCCTCCTTACATAAATATGAAAATAAGTCATACAAGGTAGAAAATACGGGTTGTCCCCTCGGTAGCACTTTTATCTTACCTCCTTAAGTTGGATTCGCGACATGGGTTGCCTCTCAAGAAGAGCTCTTTCTTTATTGCCTTTAAGCTATGCATAACTCCTTGTTCTTTAAGCTCCCCAACTTATGGCTTCCTTTAAATCCACCATATTGATTGCAGGATCCAGCTGATTGCCTCTTTCTTTAGGCTTGATAGTGGACCATGAAGTAGTAACCACCTTAGACTACACCTAATACCTTTTACCCCAGACTTTGATTGATGAACATTAGGAGTGTGGTAGAAGTAACGATACAATGAGGGACTCATATATTCCCCTCTTGGGGTTAAATAAGACGCTATAGTCTCATGGCTCTCCAGAAATTATGCAAAGGGATCTCCATCTAGTAGTCGAGTGAGATTTAGCTTGACTCCCCGATGCATCTCCACCAAGATTTATAATTTTTCTTCATGGTCTCCAACTTCAGGAATTTCATCCTCCATCTCTTCACCAAGAATGCCTTGTAAATGGTAAACACTTCATGCTCTAACCTACCTTACTCAAACTTCTAGTTTTCCAGAGTTTGTGTAGATCTTTGAGAAGATGATCTAAGGGTATCTTGAAGGGGTCCATACACTTTAAGGCTTAGTTCTTGTATCCATAGCACATCATTGCTTAGAGTAGGTGGGATTGCTACTCATTGATTTTCTTCCATTGTTGTAGAGGATAATGTAAAGGCTCCTTCTTCTCCAAAATCAAAGTTGCAGTCTTCATCAATTTCTTCCTAATCAATCAAGTTGAACTCAAGAGGAATGTGGCTTGAAGTTCCCTCCATTGAGCTAAATTATTTATCATTTTTGATGAACTCCTCTACGATGTTTTGTATGGTGGTGGCATCTTGCTCCTTTTCTAGGTTGGACGCCATGTTGGTCTAATCATCCGCATTTTTGATAGGTGGCTCCTCTTGAAGCTCCTCCTTTGAATGAATATGTTGATATGGTTGCTTCTCCAGTGGCTCATCACCTTCATTCCCCCATTTGAGGTTGATCATCCTTGTTTGAATTCTCCTCCATGATTTCTTGTTCAATGTTCGACTCCAAGGGTTTGTTCAACTTTGAGTAAGAGGTTCAAGGGGGTCGTCATATTGGATTCTTCCTCCTAGACGTTTCCAATGGTGGATTCCTTGGTAGGTAGATTATTTCTAGATTCAGATTGAAAAAGGTGTAGGAAGTGTTCAAAGCTTTCGAGTGGTGAAAAGCCTTCAACCTTCTTCCTCCATTGCTACTCATAGGGACTGTATCTCGTTCTCTACTTCTTCAGAAGTTGTAAGATCATCTTCTTCCTCATCAAATTCATTGACCTTGAGATGGTCTTCTTCTTGAAGCTCCTCAATAGGTTGATCATCCTTCTCTTCCTGGATAGGTTGAAGATGCTCGATCATGACCTCCATGGTTGGTATAATGCTTTCATCGTGTTGTTAACAGATTCCTTCATCCTCTCCCCTTTCTCCATGTGTGTCTCATGACTAGTCTCCTCCGAGCCTTGTTCCTAACCCATTGCCCTAACCATTTTTTGTTGGGCTGTTTCTCGAACACTTTTAACCGCTCGATGAAGAGGATCCCAAAGTCGTATGCCTCGCTCTAATGGTCGTATGTGATGGATTTTCCTTTCGGTGTTGGCAAGCCTGCTGATGGTGGTGCAACCATTGTTGATGGTGAAAACACTAAACTTAGTCGTGCACTTTTTCTTTCATAAAGCTCGAAGCATTTTTCACGCTTTTTATCTGGTATCATAAAAGGGGCAAATATCATAATGCGCTCAAAGTAGGAGAGAGAGAAAAAGGAAGGAACAAGTTTGAAAATAACATGGGGTAGGAGTTATTTAGAATAACTCATGAGTTATTTGAAAATAATACAAGTTTCCAAATAACTCATCAGCGCGTTGGATATTAAGTCCCAAATAACTCATTTTGACTTATTCCGCCCCAAACAAGTTATAATAACATAAGTGACTCATTAGAATAACTCATCCAAACAGCCCCAAGAACACAATTCAAAGTTGAATTGACTATCAGTTTGCTAATGATTGTTTAGTGGAATATATTGAAAGAAACTTACTTTAGAGTGTAGACAACAAATGTATTTTACGCTTCTTTCATAATCTGAAAACGCATCACGGTTGTTATTGTTTAAAAATTGTAGTTACTTTCACACAAAAAATGTAGTTACCACGGACAATTAAAAAATTTCAACAATATAAAAAGTTAGAATCATAAATTGTTTAAAATATAAGGGGTCGTTTGGTTTTGGTGATAGTTAAATTGATGTATTGTCATCAATGCATGCATAATAATATACATGTATATAAGACAATTGATGTATTGTAGTTTATATCGTTTGGTTTCTGTGATAGTTATTGTAGTATTTAAATAAATTATATAACTTTTTGGGTGAAATGTCACTTTTACCCTTTGTTTTTATTATAAAAAAGCAACACACTTCAAAAAGGTAGGGACATATTTGGAAGAAGAAGAAAACACAACAATCTCCATCAAACAATCTCAACGAAAACTTGAGATGATAGTTTGTGTCAAATCAAGCAAACAATGCATGTAATGTTTGCGCAGAAAATTCAAAAAAACAATGCATTGTGGGCATTGCATGCATTGTAACTATCCCAACCAAACGACCCCTAAAATAATTATATTTTAATTCTCCAAACCAACCCTTCTTAATGTTTCTAACAATAATCAACACCGGCCATAAAAGGAGCTATTGTTATAAAGTATTTTCAATGTATGAAATCAAAGGGTTGGGTAAAAACACTCACAAAAGACTCAATTGAGAAATGATAAACATGGATGAATAACTTTACTTTTAGTTTTAAAAAATTAATCTTTGGAGAAAGGATGCAAGTGGGATGGTTGTTAGAAAAATGAATGAAGTCAAGATGGGATGAAAATGATAATTTATCAGGAAACTCATAAAATTCCTAGATGCCGAAGCAACTAAGAAAACATGAATTAATGACTAAAAAGGAGAGGGAAAAGAGAGTCATTAATTAATGCCGACAACCATGGAATTCCTCGAGTTTGACCGACTGATCATGGTTTCATGGCCATAGGAGAGAAGTAAATTTGGTTGGTTAAGCAGAGTTGACTTGGGGGAAACTGTGGGATCAATTTTCAAAGTAATGCACCCTGCGGTCCACGGGGGAACGCTGCTGCCTGTTTGGTTTACCTCCAACGCGGCGCCTACTTCTCCTCCCTCTCATGTTTAGTCCGAATCGCACCGTTTGGTTAGGATCGTAAGATCATGAATACAATTTGGTTTGGTCCATGATTTACTTTTTTTAATTTGCAGTCGAATTGATTTGGACTGATTTAGACTTGAATTAACTGTCCAAACCGTGGTCAAAATTAAGTACTTGCAAGTTGCAGCAATCCTTATTCCCAGCCCAACTCGGCTTCGAACGTGTAAAGGATAAAGAGAGAGTAGTGTTTGAATTTGTACTTTGTAGTTTGTTGAACTTATTAGTGTTCAACTATGAATATTGTTTATTCTTATGTTATGTTGGTTGTCGACTTGAAATTGTTGGTTGCTAGTTTTGTAGGTACTTTTGTAACGAAGTGTTTGTGTTATGTTAACTTTTGAACTTTGTTAGATAAAATGTTTTTTTTTTACAATAATTAGATAAAATGTCAATGTGGTTATGTAGTTACTAACTAATATTAGTATTGGATAATACAGGTTTTGTTGAACATGGTCTACTCAATCCAGACCGTATCGGACTGCACCCTACCAGACCGTATAACCAGACAGCGGCTAGAGCCTGTTTGGTTTACTTTAGCGACCAGTGAAGCCGGGCCCATGCCCCACGCGGCGCCTACTTCTTCTCCCTTCCCTCCCTCCGCTGTTTCTTTGTTTTTTTTTTTTATTTTCTCCAAACAAACAAACAAAAGAATTCCACGACCCAGTCGTTGCTCTCTCTTTATCTCCCCGGAAAATCAATTTTTGATTGCTCACAACGAAAGGCTCAAGTTTCTTTTGCTTCTTCTTCCCTTCTGACAATCCGAGCAAAATCTCAGCTTCAGCAGCAATCTCTCGTCGTGGGTTCTTTTTACTTTCCCCCCAGCCATTTGCCCAAGCTCTGGGTCAAAGAGAAGGAAAAAAAAAGAGCTGGAAAATTCAATCCGCCGTGCTTCCACTTTCAGCTTTGTACACCAGGGTGTTTATCAAAACAGCTCCCTTTCACACCAGCAACTTCTTTCCTTTTGGTTTCTTGGCGAAAGCTGGGTAGCCATTCCAGTCTGCTGCGTTTTCCCCCATCCGGGTTCTGCTGTTCCCTAACGTTTAACGGGGCTCTGGGTTTCTCCATATGGGGATTTGCTGGTCGTCTTGGTCTTCTTCACCCACTACTCCTACACCCACCTCCACTCGTCTTAGTTCAGGTAAAAAAACCCTTCTTCCATGGTTTCTTTTTCTGTTCTCTTTTCTTTGCCCTTCCCGTGAATTGTAGTACTTCATCCCTCCCCCTGCAATTTCTCTACTTTTTTCTGGGTTGTTGTGTGCTAGTGTTTATCCGGGATCCCGTTTCTGTAATTCTGGCTTTTGCGATGCTCATTGACTTTTTTAGTTTTGTTGGGTCTTCCTGTGGGCGGAGTTTCTTAGATTACTCTTATCTTTTCATTTCATTGCAATCATACTACTGCTTATCCCTTCACTGCTCTTAACTTGATCTTCATCCTGGGTTAGTTGTTAAGTTTAGATCTTTCCTTTCCAGCTCACGCTCGGTTTCTGGAATTGCAGGTGGCGTGTCTCAAACAGTTAGCAATGGAACGTCATCGGGGAGCGGCAAAACGAATTCTTCAAAGGGCAGCAACATCTCTGGCAACAGCCAGTTTTCTGCTGCCAGTGGCGATGACTCATTTTCAAATCCAAATGGACAGATCTTGCCCACCCCAAACTTGAGGATCTTCTCCTTCGCAGAGCTTAAGCTGTCCACCAAGAATTTCAGGTCTGATACAGTGCTTGGAGAGGGAGGGTTTGGTAAAGTTTATAAAGGTTGGCTCGACGAGAAGAAGACGGGCAAGAGTGGAAGTGGAACTGTGATTGCTGTCAAGAAATTGAATTCTGAGAGCTTGCAAGGGCTTGAAGAATGGCAGGTAATTCAACTCATCAGCTTCAAGTGAGCTAAGCAGTCTTTCCATCTCCCTAACTTTTCCTTCTAAACATGGAAATTTCATTCCTAATAGAATCAGCTTCTAGATGTTGCATTCTCTGTAGTGCATTGCCGGGGAGTTGGTTGTTACACTCTTTTGTTCTAGATTGCATCTTATAAACACTTCAATAACTGTAGGAACTGCACTTTCTGAGTAATGTCTTCCATTTGAATGAGCCTGTTTTACTTTCGTCTAATCTGATGGAGAAAGCAATGAAGCTTCTAAATGGCAATGCCAAGGTTTTCCAGCTGGGTTTTAAGACCCTTCAACCTGGCCTTTGCAGTTTGCACTTCTCTCGTCTCTACTTGCATTTTCCACTAATGTGATTATGTGAATCTAGCGATAAGCAATGACATGCAAGTCCATAACAGTGGGGAACCTAAACCTGCAACTCACTTGAAGTCTGATTTCTGCATATCGTGTGAATTTGATTTTCCTTAGTCTCTCCTAGCTTATCATCTTTGCAATCTTTTCTTTGATGTGAAATTTGTGACCATGAACATGTTGGTACTTGATAATCCGTTTTTTCACCATTGGATGTGTTGTTTGTTTGTGCAGTCCGAAATAAACTTCTTGGGAAGGCTTTCGCACCCAAACCTAGTGAGGCTATTAGGGTACTGCTTGGAGGATAATGAGCTCCTCCTCGTGTATGAATTCATGCAGAAGGGCAGCTTGGAAAACCATCTATTTGGAAGTAAGCTAAATCATGAAACCCTACTAAACAGACTCCCAAACTCTGTCACTCATTTGATTACTTTTCAAGCCTTTTTCACCATCTCATCTTTTTGTTCTGGAATTGCACAGGGGGTGCAGCTGTTCAACCACTTGCATGGGAAATAAGATTGAAGATTGCGATAGGAGCAGCTAGGGGACTTGCCTTCTTGCATACACCAGACAAGAAAGTAATCTACAGAGACTTTAAAGCGTCAAATATATTGCTCGATGGAGTAAGTTTCTCACTTGAAGTGCTCTTTTGGCTTTGGGGGAAGAAAAGAAATCACTACTGAAGATGACTAATAGCATTGGTGTTTCAGACTTTGATTATTTGTGATGATTGATATTTCAGACTTTTCTAATTACTTGTGGCTTTGTACGATTTCGTCATGCAGTCTTACACAGCCAAGATATCGGATTTTGGGTTGGCGAAGTTTGGTCCATCGGCTAGTCAATCGCATGTGACAACCCGTGTCATGGGCACATACGGGTATGCTGCCCCTGAGTATGTTGCCACAGGTAAATTCCACATTCCTTATAATTGTCGGTTTACTCATCTGGAACCAATTTAAGGTGTCATATTAACATCTTGTTCCATCAAAACAGGTCATCTATACGTGAAGAGTGATGTGTATGGTTTCGGTGTAGTCTTGGTTGAGATCTTGACGGGGCTAAGGGCGCTTGACACGAATCGGCCAAGCGGGAGGCATAACCTGGTGGACTGGATCAAGCCTTATTTAAATGACAAGAGGAAGCTGAAAAGCACCATGGATTCTAACTTGGAAGGCAAGTACCCTTCGAAAGCTGCATTCAGGATAGCACAACTTGCCCTAACTTGTCTGGAATCGGAACCAAAGAATCGACCATCCATGAGTGAAGTTGTGGAGACTCTGGAAAGGATCGCATCGAGCAACGAGAGGACACTTGAGCCCCGAAACCGCGCAAACAACCGCCGCCCTGTCAGCAGCCGAAGGCATGGTCAGCAGCAACCCTTGCAGTATCGTTCTCCACTGCATCCACAGCCTGACGGTGGCCAGAGTCACCGAAATTCTCCTCGAGTGCGATGAAGTTTGCCTGATTCTTTTTTTGAGGTTAATGTAAACATGTCCTGTTATTGTTTGTTGTGACGGAGAGTTTTATCAAAATGGAGCTAGACGAAAATTGGAGTGGTGTATCATGTATGTATCTAAGTGTAGAAGGTTTGTATTTTTGTGGTATGAACTGGTAGAAATATTGGTGTGAGTGGAGAACCGGAGATCCACTTCCTATTTAGCTGGGATGTCCGGGATCCTCTTGTCTGCGTTGTCATTGTTTTTCTTCTGTCTAGGATAAGCCTGTGAATATCTCTTCCTCCTCCCCCCTTTTCTTAAAAATCAAAATGGTAATGAAACATTGAAATGGCTTTGTTCGCACAGAAAATAATGGTGGCAAGTTTGTTTCTCTCTTGCTCTTCGTACTGCTTCCTGTAATGAGACTTAATCAAGTAAGGAGTTGCACAGTAGGGAAAGATGGATTTTCCCACAAAGTACACTAGTTGTTAGAACAATTGTAAAATTACAATAATTGTACAATAATTTTTCAATCTACACATGTTTGGATTTGATCGATGAAATGTAAAGCGATCAACACGGATCGCTGATGTGGCGAGCGATCAACCTGTGGTGAAGCGATTCGGGTGCATCTCCTCAATGAAAAGCATTGGGTTCTAGACACGGTTAATTGAGTTGGAATGCGGAGAACGACACGGATCGCTGAGATGGATGGCGAAAAATCCTTCATCACTTTCAACGGATGCTATATGTGCTGGTCACTTTTGGAATCAATGATCCCCGACCCCTATAAATATAAGCCATCAACATGGATCACTGGGGGATAGAAACCAAACGCGTCGATCCGAGAAGCTATTTCAGGTAATGGTCGCTGGGAATTCAACTAGTTAAGCCTCTTGTGGAGACGCTTCCGACCTGGGTCAAAATTTGGAAATTCCACTTGAGTACCACTTGTTCGAAGGGCATGAATGGATTGCAAGTGCTCTGGGTCCTCCGTTGTGGATGGACCAGACGACGAGGGATGGAGGACAGTTGGGATTTGACAAAATCTGCTTAGATCATGATGTTGATTGCGAGGTTTCGGCTAGTGTTCGACTCTACCCAGGTGATGACCCTTCGTTTGAGGTCAAAGTGTAATACCTTAATAAACCTAATGTATGTGATCGTTGTGAGGTCTACGGGAACGAATGTGACTGGCTAGCTAAGCAAGGAAAGAAATGGGCACCTATGAAGGTGTTGAGGAAGTAGTAGTTGTTGAAGTGTAGGAGGACACTGAGGTAGCTGCTAAAGTCTTGAAAGATGCTGAAATTCTAGAGGGAAAGCAGGTTGTTGTGCATCAGGGAACTTTTGATACCGAACCTGGGAAGGAGACCACAACACAATAGAGAAGATGGGCGACTTACCCAAACACAATCAAGGCTAGAATAGTAATAAAATCAACTAGATAAACACATTCATTCATACAAACCCTAAAATATCCATACATACATAGTAAATCTAAAACTAGGGTTTGGGGTTTAGAACCCCTAGTACATTGGGAGATCACCACATGGAGGGAAAGAAAAGACATACAAAGAGGGGGAGAAATCATGAATAAAGGGTCTTCAAGTTATGGAAATCCTCCTCCAAGCTCTCCTCCACTTCTTCTCATTTCTTTGACTTCTCTCTCTAGAATTAGAAATCTGTCAAAAGCCACCTTCTAAAGGGGGAGGAGTCCCATATTTATAGGTTTTAGGGGACACAGACAAGTTAGCGGGCAAGGGGCTGAAGATCGCACCCATGAACTAGAGGTTGTGATCTTAAGGGCAATTCGCGGGCTGGAGATAAAAGATTGCGGTCAGGATCTTTGGGGGTAGAGGTTGCGATCTTTGAGGGTCACCATTTTTGCCTTGATGAATGTGGAGTTCGCGGTCTAACATCCCGGTCGCGATCCGAGGTGTCACGGCTACAATCCTTATTGCTGGCACGGAAGCCTTGGATCTTGATTAGATTGGGGAAACTTTCTGCTTCTCTCGATCTGGCTGAAGTTCACAACCTTGGCTTCAAAGTTCGTGGCCGTGAACTTGGTGGCACCATTGCTCTGTCGTCGCTTCCTTTTGTCGCCAATAGAAGTTGCCTTGTCGACGGGAGTGTCGCGACCCTCTCGCCATCACTCTTTCGTCCTTGATCATCGAAGCCGCCCGCAATTTCGGTAGGCGCGGAACGAGCAGAGGCGGAGAAAGAAAGAATGGAGAGGAAGAGAAAGAAGAGGCAACGTAATTCGGGTCCAATTTCATACATTTTACCCACATATTCTTTAGATGTTTGAGGCGTTTTCACTCAGTGAGGTTCGATTTTACGCTAAGTTGTTCTTGTTTCTAGTGTGTTTCAGATCCTAGCAGGTAGAATCGACCTTGGCAACGAAAGTTGGACGAAAAGGGGCGGAAACTGATCAAAGGGAGGAAGCAGCTGAGGATCACGGTTGAAGCTTAGTTTTCACGGTCAGCCAGACCGTGATAATGGAGAAAAATCGTGAAGAGCAAAGGAACCAGAACATTCTGCGCGCTGATTCCCTCCATACATTGAAGAGCTTAAGTGAACCGACTCATTTTTGTCTAGGATCACGGTCCAAGCTTGGAGTTCACGGTCGTGAAGTGGGACTGTGAAAAGCCGTCGATCTGGGTATAAAGGGGGAGTTGAGCTGAAAGAAGGGGGAGAACCTAGTGTGAGAAAACTTCTTCTTCCTTAGATTTCTAGAGAGAGAAAGTGACAAACAAGAGAGGAGAAGAAGGTTAGGGTCTCATCCAAGCTCTAAGATTTGAGAATCTCATCCTCCAAGGTTGATCTCCACACCAAAGGAAGAAGCAAAACATCTCAAGATGGTCTTTTCTCTTCGCCTTTGTGTATTCCCTCATCTTAGCATGGAGTAGTTTCCTTCTTTCACTTGGGTGTTTGTGAACCCTAGTTAGAATCACGTGAATGTTTGTATAGATTGAATGATTTGTGTGTGGTTGTGTTTTAATGCAGGTATTGAGGTATTTTCATCAAGGTTGTGTTGTGCTTTCCATTTCCAACTCTTATGTCAATTCGAACTAGATAGAGGGAAATCCCCTTATTGATTCCAACATTTTAATAACAAAATCAACAATGCTCTTTGCTCTTTCAAATTTAATAATCACACTCGGACAAAATTGAAGTAAAAAGCAAGGGGTTGGAGCTGGGTGAAGATAATTTATTCAAAACTCGAGAGTTTTTTTGGAGGGCATGGCCGTTTTAGGGTAGAGAACCATATATATTTATATTATGTTAGCTGTCAGTTAACCGTTAAGCAATTATTCGATTATCGTTACAATAGAAGTCATTTCAACCTATCGATGATCACACTACTTATATTCAATTGACAGTAACTGTTAGGGTTATAGGTATAATATGCCCCTCTACTATGACGTTTTATCAAACATGCCCATCCACTATTTTTTACATCAAACATGCCCCTGTACTTTGAAAAAATTATCAAACGTGCCCTTCTGTTAAAATTTCCATAGAAAACAATCGTCAATCATGGTTGAACCGAGATTTAGACGACCCGACATCGACAAATGGGAGCGATGATGTCAGTTTTGTCTCCCGTTTTATTTCTCTGGGTCTCTTCAAAGTGAAATTATTTGAATTATTTGGTTATACAAAAGAACAAAAAAAATCTAAAGTGAAATTATTAGGGATATTTTAGACATTTGTGCCGCCCAGACCAAAGCTCGACCTTGGTTAATGGTTTTTGGATGAAAATTTAAACAAAATGACATGTTTGATCATTTTTACAAAGTACATGGGTTTGAATATTTGATGTAAAAAATAATAGAAGGACATGTTTGATAAAATGTCATAGTAGAGGGGTATATATTATACTTATAACCCTAACACTATGTTTGGGAAGGGGGGTAAATGGAAGGGGGGTGCAAGTTTGGGGGGTAAACACAAGTTCCAAGGTGTTTACCCCCGTTTGGTTATTTTGTAACAGTAGGGGGGTGCAAAACGTGAGCGTAAATTCACTATTTCGGCTTACCCCCCAAATTGGGGTGCAAGGGAAGGAAGGAAGGGAGGGGGAAGGGGGAGGAGGGGAATTATGGATTTTTAATTAGATTATAATTACATAATAATTAATATTATTAATTTTTTCTTATATCTATATTAGTGTAGAAGTTGTTTGGGGTTGACCATTTGACTCAGAGAGCAAGTTTGTCAATGTTCGCCTAGTCAAATCGATATCTCTTAGTTGACCCGAATTTGCATTGAAAATTAGAGATAAGAAGCGTTTGTTGAAAAGATAGAGAGGAACAGTTTAGTTAACTCGATTTACTTTAATAAGTAGTTAAAACTTACAGATTCGAACGTGTTTGACTAAGTTTGACCATATTCAATTTAAAGTTAGGCACGAGAACCCCCTTAGGATGACCAGTTACGAGTTGGATTTCGAGTTTCGAGGTTGCTCGACCAATGATTATTATTATTATTATAAATAATTATATTTGAGCATTATTATATAATAATTATTTTTATTAAAATTATTTTTATTTATTATTTATTATTATTATATATTGAATTTTCATGTTATTATTTTGTGATAATATTTTATAAATTGATAAATCTATTTTATAATAATATAATTACTTACTTTTTACTCTATTTGCACCCCCCTACTTTTTCATCCAAACAACAATTTACCCCTCCACTTACACCCTCCACCAAGTTGCACCCCCAAAAATTTACCCCTCAACTTGCACCCCCTCGAACTTGCACCCCCCTTGTTGCCAAACATAGTAATTGTTAACTTTTAATTATAAGTTAGTTTATCGAAATGCTAAACATTTCCAAAAGAAAAGCAAAATAAATAAATAGAATACATGAAACGACACGTCGTCTGCACAAGGAGAAAGAAATCTGTATGGCGGAAAAAAAAAAAAGAGAAAGAAATCTGGGGAGCTTAAAATAGAGAGCAGAAAGTGGGAGCACGGGAAAGAAAAGAAAACAAAGCACATCTGAGCTGCTCTGCTCAGTCGGCCGGCGTACCTAACGTTCTCCTCTATCGCCATGGCAGCTTGTCGCGCAAAACTCTCGAGCTATGATTCTCTGTTTCTCGCCTGCTTCTCTCTGGTAAACGATTCCCACTACCTCCCCGCTTTCTTTCTCGTTCCCCTCATTTTCTTTTGCGCGCCATCCTTTTTTTCATTTGCTACTCTCTGATCCCATCTAATCACCGTCCTTCGTTGATTTTCCATTTCCATATTTTTCGAGTTCCACGATTCCACTCACTAGCTAGGGTTTCTCCCCAACCTAACTTATCTACTTTCCCCCCCGTTAAGATCATCAATGGTCAATCAATTGAATTAGAATTGAACAGTGACCGGATGTAAGGATTTCACTGATTTCTTATGTTTTGTGTGATGAATTATACAGGTTATCATTCATGCTTCCTTAGTCAGTTCCCTCACTCCATCCAGGTATAAATGAGAATGTAGTCAAGTTCTCATCTCGTTTCCCACATTTTAAAGCATAAATTTTGATTGATTGATTCCACTTGCCATTTTGATTTCTCATTACTGCACTATTTTATTGGTGAAGGGAGCTGAAATCACTCGGCTCCTCCTTCGATGATTGTCAAGCGTGTGACGAGACTCAGGTATCTGATTTCATCCTTCTCTGTCTATGGCTGCTGCTTAAATTATTTGCTCACTGTATTCTGCTTCTTAACTCGCAAAGAAGGCAGCTCTCTCACTTATTCTTGCTACTGTTTCTGCATCTGTGATGGGGAAACAGGACACTTCATCTGCTTCTGGACGAGGAAATCCTCTAAATCAAAAGGTATTGACTGTCATTGGTTTCGGTTGGGGAGGACCTAACATGGGGTTTATCTCATACATTGTTTCTCTCATTCATTCAGGATATTGACATAATTGCGAGCTACAGTGACCCTTCTGGCAGAATGCGTGTCAGTAGGGTGAAAATGAAGAGCCTTTCTGCATCGTGGGTGCTTGAGAACCCTGTAGACACTGCTGAGAATGATGGACAAAACAGTACTGCCCAGGTAACACCTTAGTGCTTGCATTCATTGTAGGAATAGTACAAAAAAGAGCTCGAGTACAATGAACTGGGATCTATGAAGATTTATTTTAACTCCGCTGGTGTTTTGGATCAAACTGCCTACACTGCTTGAACTTGGGAGTCACCTTGGTGCTTCCTTTATCCTTTCAGACATCGAAATATTTGTCCGAAGCTGGGAACTTTCCTAAAGGTAATGCTCAGAAGAAAGTGAATAGTCGTCAAATTGGAGAAGGCGAAACCCAGTACCCTCCAAAGCTCATGAATCCAGTGAAGCTCAAGCGTCGGGTGAATTGCCAGTAACTTGCTGCTTTTTACTAAACCGTGCATGTTTCTGCCATTTAACTTGAATGCTTCATAGTTTCACCTCTTCAGAAGGAGCGGCAAATGAGGAAGGATCTTCGAACTGCAGAGCTGATCAAAGATGACAAGGAAGCTGACATGAAGACCCAGTTAGCTGCTTTAGAGCAGTCTAAAGCACTGGACACAACTATTACAGGAAAGTACAGCATATGGAGGAAAGATTTTGAGAATCCAAATTCTGATGCTGTGCTTAAACTCATGCGGGACCAGATGATAATGGCCAAGGCATATGCCAATATCGCCAAATCTAATAATGAAACAGGGCTTTACACATCTCTCATGAAACACTCCAGAGACAGTCAACATGCCATTGGCGAAGCAACATCTGATGCTGAACTTCACCCAAGGTGTGGAATTTAATTCTTTCTGTTTACTCAATGCATGACTCGAAGCGATTGACTACTCGGCTGAAAGTGCAATCTTCAATCTTTTTTAGTGCACTTGCTCGAGCAAAAGTCATGGGTCGTGTTCTCTCTATGGCCAAAGATCGGCTTTATGATTGTCCGACAATGTCGAGGAAGTTAAGGGCAATGCTGCAGTCTGGTGAGGAGCATTTGAACGCTTTGAGGAAAAAGAGTGCCTTCTTGATTCAGCTGGCTGCCAAAACGGTTCCAAAACCGTTGCATTGTCTTCCATTACAGCTTGCTGCTGATTATTTCCTGCAGGGTCATCAGAACAAGCATTATTTCAACAGTGAAAAGCTTGAAATTCCTTCTCTTTACCACTATGCCATATTTTCTGACAACGTGTTAGCAACTTCTGTGGTTGTCAATTCCACTGTGCTGCATGCAAAGGAACCCGAGAAACATGTCTTCCATGTGGTGACAGATAAACTGAACTTTGCTGCCATGAAAATGTGGTTCATTGTGAACCCTCCAGCACAAGCAACAATTGAGGTGCAGAACATAGATGATTTCACGTGGCTGAATTCCTCTTACTGTTCTGTCCTGCGTCAACTTGAATCTTCTAGGGTTAAGGAGTACTACTTCAAGGCGAACCACCCTTCTTCTCTATCTGCTGGGTCTGACAATCTGAAATATAGGAATCCGAAATATCTGTCTATGCTGAATCATCTTAGATTCTACCTTCCTGAAGTGTACCCAAAGCTGGATAAGATCCTGTTTCTGGACGATGACATTGTTGTTCAGAAGGATCTAGCGCCACTTTGGTCTATTGATCTTCAAGGGATGGTGAACGGAGCAGTGGAGACATGCAAGGAGAGCTTCCACAGGTTTGATAAATATCTCAACTTCTCGAATCCTAAAATCAATGAGAACTTCCATCCAAATTCTTGTGGCTGGGCATTTGGTATGAACATGTTTGACTTGAAGGAATGGAAGAAGCAGAACATCACCGGCATCTACCATTATTGGCAAGACCAGGTGAGGCCCTTAAAAGGCTGCAGCAGTAGCCATTTTACTTCAACTCAGATGTTGTTCTGTAAATTGTGGGAGTGATAACCATTAACCAATACATAAAGATGATTAACTTTTTCTTTTTGTGCAGAACGAGGATAGAACACTATGGAAACTGGGGACATTGCCGCCGGGATTGATAACGTTCTATAACCTGACGTATCCTTTGGATAGAGGGTGGCATGTGTTGGGACTTGGATATGATCCTGCCTTGAATCAAACAGAGATAGAGAATGGGGCAGTGGTGCATTACAATGGGAACTACAAGCCGTGGTTGGATCTGGCTATAGCCAAGTACAAGCCCTATTGGTCCAGATACGTTAAGTTCAACAATCCTTACCTTCTTGAGTGCAACATCAGTGAATAGAACCATCCATCCGGCCGGCTAACTTCTTGCACTGCAGCACTCCCCCTTCCTCCTTTCTCTGTGTTTGGGATTGCTTTGCTCTCCTGTTTGGCTTTTTCTTTGTAAGCCATCACATAAATTTTGGTAAGATGACGGGATGATAGCTTAGCTTAGAATGTTGATGGCTTTTGGGTCCGTGTATCTCTGAAACCTTTAATTATATCTCTACTGGCACTGTCGAAGGATGCTGGAAGAGAATTGCTAAACTCGGAGCTAACTGGGCAAATAAAGTTTTGTGCCACTGGCATGAAAGCTTCAAATGAAAAACGCTCTGTAAGGCTGTCCACAACCCGGGGGCTAAAAGGCAAAATGACATTTTAGCCCCCAACTTTTGTTTTAACGCATGGCTAAACCCAACCCAAGACTAAAAGGCTAAATAGAGGTTTTGACGAGCTAAAATAGGTCTGATTTGGGGAGGGGCAAAAGGAGGGTGGCTAAATGAGCGGGTCCCTCCACTAGCAATAAACAACCACATAAACAGATTGTTTTTTGGTTTTAGTTAATTAAATTAAAATGACGTGTTTTGTTTGTTTTTGGTGTTTTTCAACGGAAGAATTCATTTCGATATAATTTTCGTACATTTGAGTGTTATTTAAAGAAACAAATTATGATCGTTGGATTTTTTTTTAACTAAAAACAACCGTATCTCCGATATTGTTCAAAATCTTGGAGATTTTAATGAATGAAGTTCATTTCGGTGCAATTTGAGTTCATTTCTCAGGTTCCCGATTCTTTGGAACTCACAAGCTACAATATGAACAAGAGGCAAGGAATTGTAAGGTATAAGGTTAGGTGGCGTCAAGTCTTTGACCCACCATCACACCGTGAAAAGGAAGCACACAAGTTGGCTGTGCCAAGGCACGGTTTGCACGGACGACGTGGAAGAGTGGGTCGAGTCGGTCAATTTTAAGGGCAAGGGTGGTTTCAATGGGGAGGTGATGATAGAAACCTACTTTTCAGTTTCTATCATAATAATTATTATTAATAGTAATATGATTTTATTAGATATGGTTAGTAGTCTTTGGGTCATATTAGGATAGTTTATTAAGTTTTTCCGGTCTATAAATATAAATATATACTTTGGGTCCTTTGTTCAATTAAGCAGAAATCAATACAAGAATTATCTCCCAAATTCTAAGCTCTCTCTGTCTCCTAATTTCTCTTCTTCCTGAATCCAAGGCTTCGACCGATTCTTATTCTTTTCTTCTTCTTATTCTTTCACCAAATTTTCAATCTCAAATCTCCAATTCTATCTCCAAATCCCTAAATCCTCTATTACCCAACACTACTGACAGAACCGTAGAATTAGGTTTCTATCATCATTATATAATACATATTGTAAATACATTATATTCCAGCAACAAATTGATGGATGAATTCCCAAAATACACATGCTTTTAAAAAAAATTCTCAAAATACACACGTTATAAATTATTTTTTTTCCAAAAAACACATGTTTGGGCATTACCGTTGTTGTCAACCGCAGTGAATGCATTCACAGCGGCAGACCAAAGCGGTGAATGCATCACTGCGGTTGACGGCCGCGGTGAATGCCTAACTTAACACTGAAACTTCAAACAAACATAACTTTGCGCTCGGTTATCCGATTGTAGCGAAATTTTTTTTTGATTCCATAAAACTTTTCAAGATCTTTCAATCTGCAAGACTTCATCTAAAACAAAAGTCGTTTGTTACCCCGAACGAGCAATTTTTTGATTTTGCCAAACTTTGGAAGGACATAACTTTTAGCTCCTCAATCCGAACGTGGTAAAGTTTTTTTTTATTGCGCATAACTTTTTAAGAAATAAACTTTTACTAGGAAATAATTTTTTAAAAAAGAAGTATTTTGGGTATACGGAATTTTGGGAATAACTTTGCCTTTACTTATCACAAATCCACATACTTTCCAAAATTATGGTTATAATAAAATTTGTAGTACTTCAAATTTATGCAAAATCAAAAAAAGTTTCATGACATTCGGATTGTGGAGCACAAAGTTATGATCTTCCAAAGTTTGTCAAAATTGAAAAATTGCTCGTTCGGGGTAGCAAATGATTTTTTTTTGGGATCAAATCTTGTTACAGATTGAAAGATCTTGAAAAGTTACGTGGAATCAAAAAAAAATTCGCTACATTCGGATAACCGAGTGCAAAGTTACGTTTGTTTGAAGTTTCAGTGTTACGTTAGACATTCACCGTGGCCGTCAATCGCGGTGATGCATTCACCGCTTTGATCTGCTGCGGTGAATGCATTCACTGCTGTTGACAACAACGATGATGCCCAAACATGTGTATTTTGGAAAAAAATTTAATAAGGTGTATATTTTGGGAATTGTTTTTTTAAAAAACATGGGTATTTTCAATTTTGAGATTTTTCCTCAAATTGGTTGAATAAAGCGTGGGCGAGAGAGACACGAGACGAGAGGCTTTCAGAAAGCTCAAAAATAGAAAGACTACAAAAATACTGCAACTTAGACATGAGAATTCATGGATCCGACGGCAAAGCTTACGAAAGCTCTCCTCTTCAACGCCTCCGAACCAAAGGTTGCATGGCAGCTTTTCAAGCGCATTCTTTCTTTACCCGCCGGCGAACACTTCCCCGTTGCGGTAGACACCATTACTCGGATCCTCATCCGCGCAAAAATGATGAACGAACTCGATGAGCTCCACCAACGACTCCTGCAGCATTCTACCTTGCCCCTACACATCTTGCATCCTTGTCTTACTTCTTCAATAGCCGTTTCAGCTAATTCAGGTCTCTCCGGTAATACCCTTTCCCATTTCAAAGCCTTCCGATCTCGGTTCCCAGATAACCCGCCCTCCGTACATTTGTATAATTGTCTGGTTCGGTCTTGCATCAAGGCCGGGAGTGGTGACCACGTCGCTTGGTTGTATAAAGATATGAAAGTAGCTGGGATTGCTCCGGAGACTTATACGATCAATATTTTGATTGGGTTTTTGTGCGATTCCGGTCGGTTGGAAGAGGCCTACCAGCTGTTTGATAAAATGCCTGACAAAGGCTGCAAACCAAACGAGTTCACTTATGGGATTTTGGTTCGTGGGTATTGTCGTGCTGGGGATTCCTGTAGAGGATTGCAGCTTTTGAGTGAAATGAAAAGTCGGGGGTTCGCCCCTAATAAGGTTGTGTATAATACTCTCATTTCTGCATTCTGCAAGGAAGGTAAGAACGACGACGCTGAAAAATTGGTGGAAAGAATGAAGGAGGAAGGGTTGTGTCCTGATATTGTGACTTTCAATTCTAGGATTTCAGCTCTCTGCGATGCTGGGAAAACTCTCGAAGCTTGTAGGATTTTTAGAGACATGCAGATTGACAAAGACTTGGGGCTGCCGACGCCTACTATCATCACTTATAATTTAATGCTTAAAGGGTTCTGTAAAGGAGGGCAGTTGAAGGATGCCGAGTCCCTGTTTGAGATTATGAAGAGCGACAGTTCTCTACTAAACATAGAGAGTTATAATATTTGGTTGTCAGGTTTAATAAGGAACAGGAGGATCTTAGAGGCTCGATTAGTTCTAAAAGAAATGATAGATATTGGAATCAAGCCTAACGTATATTCTTATAATATTGTGATGGATGGGCTATGCAAGAATGGGATGCTCTCAGATGCAAGGGCGCTCACAAGCGTAATGACAAGCAATGGTATTTTACCAGATGCAGTTACTTATAGTACGTTACTTAATGGTTTCTGCAGTCGTGGAAAGGTCTTGCAGGCTAACAGTGTTCTGCACAATATGATGCAGAGTGGCTGTTTCCCAACTCCTTACACCTGCAATATTCTACTGCACAGTCTGTGGAAAGAGGATAAAACATCTGAAGCTGAGAAGCTGCTGCAGAAAATGCATGAGAGAGGCTATGGTGTTGATACTGTGACATGCAATATTATTCTCGATGGTCTCTGCAATCACGGCAAACTAGACAAGGCAATTGAAATTGTGAATGATATGTGGACTCATGGGAGTGCTGCTCTTGGTAACTTGGGTAACTCATTTATTGGCCTCATAGATGATAGGGATAGTGTGAAAAAATGTGTGCCTGATTTGATAAGCTATTCGATTATAATATCTGGACTATGCAAGGCTGATAGGGTTGATGAAGCAAAAAGGAAGTTTCTTGAGATGATGGGAAAACATTTGCAGCCTGATTCAGCCATTTATGATACTTTCATTCGTTGCTTCTGCAAAGAGGGAAAGTTATCTGCTGCATTTCGAGTGCTTAAGGACATGGAGAAAAGAGGTTGCAGTAAGACCATACATACTTTCAATTCATTGATCCTTGGCTTAGGAAGAAAAAATCAAATATTTGAAATGCATGGTTTGATCGATGAGATGAGTGAAAAAGGGATTTCTCCGGATGTTTACACATATAACAATTTGCTAAGTTGTCTTTGTGAAGGAGGGAGGGCTAAAGACGCACCCTTAGTTCTGGAGGAGATGCTCCAAAAGGGTATTTCTCCAAATATTTCGTCCTTTAGAACATTGATTACAGCTTTCTGCAAGGCTACTGATATCAATGCAGCGCATGAGGTGTTTGAAATTTCGCTGGATGTGTGTGGCCACAAGGAAGCCCTTTATAGTTTAATGTTTAATGAATTAGTTTCTGGTGGACTAGTTGCTGAAGCTGGAGAGCTCTTTGAGTCTGCCTTAGATAGGTCTTTTGATGTGAGTAACTTCCTTTACAAAGATCTCTTTGAAAGACTTTGTAAGGACGACAAGTTGGAAGATGCCAAAGCTTTGCTTAATAAATTAATCGAGAAAGGATACGGGTTTGATCCAGCTGGACTAATGCCAGTGATTGAAGGCTTACGCAAAAGGGGAAACACGGGCGAGGCTGAAGAACTCTCAGAGAGAATGATGGAGATGATATCAGAGGACAATGTAGAAAACAGGAATGGTCAACATAGGATGGGTTTCATGTTTGGATCGAGAAATAAGGACGGTGCAAATGATTGGCAAAGCCTGATTCAGAGGTATGCCGATAAAGAGTTTATTTATCCATAAAAGGCTTTGGTTTTTGTCATCTCAGTCCTAATTATTTTTCCATCAGTGATAATCCTGATTTGCATGTTATCTTGTCTGTTTCCAGAGATGACGGTAGTGGAGTCACATTGAAAGTTCTTAAGCGGTTGCAGAAGGGCTGGGGTCGGGGAAGCCTTTTAGGTAAACGGCCTCAGGAAGATGCATCCATCTTCTAGGTGTGCTGCCCCAGGAAATGAGTTAATTGATTACTGAAGTGGCAGCGGTTTAATTTTGGTGTTCCATTGGGCAAAAACCTGGGCATGATAGAATCCCGGTATCTAGGGGGAGTGAAGCTAACAGTATGACTGATACTCCCAGTGTGGTAATGTTCACGAGGACGGTATGACCCCTCTGACTTTTATTCTCTTCCACCCATTTGTGAAATAAGCAACTTTGTGTTTGCATTGCAGTGAATTCATATCCTTGTTTTGCTTAGTGTGTACATGATATGGTATTGGATGGTATACGATTCATATGACATGGTATCAAAGTCTTATCAATCTGGAGGTCCTGTCCTGTATCTGAATTTTGTTTGTTCCAATACTATATGTTGATTTGACCGAATAGTATGACAAGTCTACGTAAAGTTGAAGATCGTGAGTTGACTGAAGCACTGTAACCGGTTACTTTGTTGTAACTTCATTCTCTCTTTGATAGTGCTAGTGCATTCTCTCGACCTCTAGCAAGAAAACAGTGGTTTGTACTTGGACATGATATACAGCATTAAGTCAGTTTTATAGCTTCTCTGGTTTCCTGATTGGTGGCAGCCATCACCTCGTACTGTTAAAATTGGCTGTTGCATTAAGATGCACTTTTTCCCTTCTTGTTCGTAGATAAGGTTTCAATTTCCAAGCCAGTGGAGCATTAGCAAACTTTCGCACCAACAAAATGTGAAGAGGTTGATTGATGAGAGCCCATGCTGCCAGAGACGGGACATGATAACCTCAAGAAACGCTAGAAGCTCCATGAGAAAAGGGTCACACGCTCCCAGGAAAAAGGTGGCTCAATGCACATGTGAGTTGACTGCGAGGGAGCACAGATTGCGCCATCAGCTTTGATAGTGAAGAGGTGGTGGTGCCGTTGGCAATGACATCTGTGTCAGGATTATGGGCCAAGGCCGAAAACGGGTCTCATTCTCCGAAACCCCGCAAATCCACACGGGTGTCAGAGATGTCGAGCACAACCTACGATCGACGAAGAAAAGAAGCCACAGGTAGAATGGCATTGACACGAATGAGAAGCTATATAAAGTAGAGGTGAACCGTTATGAACCCTCTATGCATCTTTCCCAAAGGTTAATGAAGCCCTCGATGGCCAGTGGCGGAGCCAGAAATCTGAACGAGGGGGGCTGAAATTTACGTTCAAGATGTTTGAGCTGGGGAGGGGGGCTAAAGCCTTACAACCTGATCTATTTTCCAAGTTTGTTGCAAAATTTACACATAAATTTACACGATATTGAGAGTTGAGGGGAGGCTATAGCCCCTCCTGACTATAAGGTGGCTCCGCTAGTGCCGTCTGCCGATGGCTTAAACTTCAAGATAAAGGAAGTAGACGTGGAATCATATGGATTTGTCATTTTGAAATTAGTTACTAGTAATGAAACTAATTAGGCAACTGATCGTGAAATGAAAATTGAAGGGGTCAAATGCAGGACTTGGGATGAACCCAATCTTTACCAAGCCCTTAAAATGCAGGACTTGGGGGGTATAGAGCTCTATACCTTGAGCCATTTCCTCTTTGGAACTCACAAGCTACAATATGAGCAAGAGGCAAGGAATTGTAAGGTATAAGGTTAGGCGGTGTCAAGTCTTTGACTCACCATCACACTGTGAAAAGGTGTACAATGATACGATCATGCTTCTCACCTCCAAGAATGGATTTCAAAGAAGCCCTTAGTTGTGTAGTCCATTGAGCTTGCAAGTTTCACCAAGCTCAAAGCGTAAAAGAAAGAGGGCTTAGCTTCATCGGGGGCATCCATGTCCAGCGTCGAAATTAAGAACAAAAAAAAAAAATACAAATACGGCTTGAGTGGGACCAGAACGACCTAGATCTAAGAGATGAGAAGGGTGCAAAATCGGATTTGGACTCTTAGGTTTGAGTGGGACCAGAAGGACCCAGATATGAGGGCTGAGAATTAATGACTTTTTATTTTTCGTAGTTTTCTTAATCGGCTCTTATCTTTTTCGTTTTAATTTGGATTTCAATTTTTTTTTTTGTACAGATTGAACGACTTCGTTGTGATCTACAAAACGAGATCCATTTTCAATATATTTTGAGAAAAAAATTCCATACCACTCGTTACCAACTTGGGCACCACCTTCGGTTTTAACTCGAATTTTGAATTTTTTTGCACAGAAGGATTGATTTCATCATTTTCTATTGAATCTACAAATTTATGAAACAAATAAATACATGAGCAAAATATACCACTCTATACCGCCCTGATATATGGGTGGTAAGTGGCGGTAAACAATAATGAATGTGGTAAGTGATAGTTCATAGGTTCCTTCTATCATGTATTCAACAATACTACACTCTGGTATGCTCATACCATCATGGTACACTTTCATACCGCGTGGTATGAACTTATGTAATATCAAACATTACATCCATGGTATAGACTGGTGATGTAATATCTCAAATTATTTTTTCTTCCAAAATATATCAAGATAGATATCATTTCGAATATCACAATTTATCTGATTTATCTGTGCAAAAAAAATTAAATCAAAATTTAAAATGAAAAACAAATAACACATTCAAATTTATAGAAAAAATGTTAGACAACATTCATAAATAATGATTTGACAGATTATGCAAGGGTAAACACCTTTAAATCATGCAACGTATCCGCATCCTGAAATCAAATTACATCCACAATCAACAGTATAATTTATAGCTGAAAAGTAAAACTGCACCCCCCATTCAAAATTTCCTGCCCATAGAGTGATTTTAGGAAGCTGATGTGGCAGAGTGTTAAGCGGGGAAAAAAAGGAGTCCCGCCTGATTTCAGAACCAAAAAACTCTCCACTACCCACTTTTTTCTCCTTCCACGCCCACGTTCTCTTTTTTTTTTTTTGCCTGATTTCAGAACCAAAAAACTCTCCACTACCCACTTTTTTCTCCTTCCACGCCCATGTTCTCATTTAATTTGTATTAATTTGTATTTTTTTATTTCCGATTTCATTTCCTTCCACTCTTTCCCTTCATTCCGTTATCTTTATTCTCTCTTACCTTCCTTGCTTCATTCTGTTGATTGGATTCTCTAGAGATCAAAAGGGGATTTTTGATTTTTCTCTTTCTCTTGAAAGTAACAAAGCTGCTTACTTTAAATTCCACTTCGCTTAGACTGTCTTCCAGAGAGCAGCCGACTGCCGATTTTGAGCTGAGTTTTTCCGGGCCGCAGAGAAAGAAGAGGAAAGAAAGAGACGTTCGGCGGCGGCAGGCGGACGAGAATTTTGGTGACGAGATCTTGGGGAAGGTGATCGGACATTGTGGTGCCAAGAGAATCGGCTTGGAAAAGGGGAAACGCGAACACTTTTTTGAGTCTTGATAGAGACGAGTGGCCAAAAAATAAGGTCTGCAAGTTCGGCTGATCGCTCTAATGGGAACAGGGGAAGGCTTTAAAGAGTTTTAGTAATTGCAAGTTTGATCACTCAGCTCAAAATCGGTGAAATAAACATATATTTGTGTTGGCCATTACATTGTTGTCCTTCTCGCTCTTCCTTTGCATCCCCAAGCTTGGAAGCCATTCTGTTATATGTGTTTTGTTCATCAATTTAAATTATGCCTTATATAGTTATATTTTTCTTCGACTGTTATGTTTGTGTGATGTGTTGTATGTGTCATTAACTCGCACAAACTTATAATTGGTGAGGAGTTCAACTTCTGTTGTAACAATTAATTAATTTATATGAATGGCATCTGCAAAATTTACTGGAACGGGTGCATCATTTACCACGACCTCTATTTCAGATTGCATCAGGTTATTGGAGAATTTAATATGGATAGTGCAAATGTCATCCCATCTGCCCAACCACAGATTTATCGATCGTCTGTACCATGTGAGTGTCATGGTTTAGCACGCAACTGCTTCAATGCAAACTGACATTAATATTTTCCCTTGAATCTCATTTGTTTAGGGAAACGTCGAGCAGTGTTTATTCATCCTGAAGATCAGTACTAACGCTGTGTTTTATCTGTTGAAGAGGAAGAAGCATTAGAGAGAGGTGTGTTATCTGTGTTTTAATTTTTCTAATTAGTTCATCTATTCAATGAGTAATACATGGTTTTATATTTAAATTCTGCAGAAGAACTGCCTTACAATTCCAACTCTCTCAACTTCGGCGAATACTATCCCAAGTCGCCCGTAAGAGAAGACATCATATTTTGAAACAGAAGGTTCATAGGAGGGGCTTGCCTTTTGAACACCAAGGTTGTTGTTTGCTAAATTTTGTAGCAAGTCTTACAAATTAGGCTATTCTAGATTGTTGAATCTTTATTTATTTCTTTAATATCGTATGTGTTTTGGTGTTGTTCATAGTTTTGGAGCCGGAGTTTAGATTTCTATTACAAAAGCAAAGTCGATTACTTCGACGTATTCATCTGCATAGAAAGAGACGTGGCCGAAGTTTCTTTCCTACAGAAGTCAATCAAAGTATGTGGATTCTAATGGCCACTATTATACATGAAATGGTTCATCTCTATTTTGGTTTAGTTTTTGTACATTGGATATATGTTTTTGTGTTCTGGTCAACATATTTTGTTTCCTATTTTGGTTTTAGAACATATAATGTACCCATTTATGTCATGCATATAATTTAGTGATGTACGCTTCATGTCACCTTATGCAAATAGTGGATTGTTTTTAGATGTTGATGTGTCAACGGCAAATTTGTGTGTTATGAACAAACTTTGGTGTTTCCTGAAATTTGACTTATTCTTACTTAAAATGAGCGGTATACCAATCTATCTTGCCTTGAGAACATTTATTTTAATAATTGTGTTTACTGTAGCGTGCCTAAATCGGCTTCACAGTTTCTCAAACTCATTCAATTTATGAATTACTGTGACAAAAATTTATTAATATTACTTATCTATTTCACTAGGTCTTCCGTTGGTTGAATTTTTTGATATTGGTCCACCTTCATGTACGTGTCAACATTGTGGAGCAGTTATGTGGCGGTTCGAGAGTACTTTATCTACACGGAATGATGTGTTGCCTGCATTTCCTTTATGTTGCAAACATGGTAAAGTGAAATTGCCTCCCCGCAGAGATGTGCCCGAATTTCTTAAAACTCTACTTGAAGGGGATACACCATTAGCGCGTCACTTTCGTACTAACATCAGAGCCTATAATGGGGTTTTTTGCTTTATTTCTCTCGGAGGTAAAGTCAATCACTCTATTAATGATGGTCGTGGAGTTTATGTATATTCAATCGGTGGTCAGATTTATCATCGAATAGGATGTTTGGTTCCTGGTGATGGGGATAGTCCGAAATTTGCACAGCTTTACATTCACGATTCAGATAACGAGGTGCAGAATCGTATGGACTTTTACTCCACTGATCCTGCCAAGAATCCGTTGCGCCAGTGTATTGTTGAAGGCCTCCAGCATATGTTTGATGACAATAATATCCTGGTACGTACATTTCGTTCTGCGCGAGATATGATTTGCGTGAAATTATTGGCTAAGCGTGAAATTAATAGTAGAGAATATGATTTGCCCTCTGCGAATGAGATTGCAGCATTGATTGTAGATGAAACAGGAGAGCAATCATTTTCTCCAGATATTATTGTTCAACAGAAGGGTTCAGAAATGGAAAGGATTAGCGTATACCATCCAAGTCTGATGGCATTACAATATCCAATTTTATTCCCATATGGCGAGGATGGGTGGCATCCCTGCATTAGCTATAGTCACAGTAGCTGTAATATCAGTGTTGGAGATAAAATGATAACCAAGTGTGATTTCTATGCATATCGTCTTCAAACCCGTCTCCAGGAGTCGAATTCTCTGTTATTATCTGGTAAATTGTTTCAACAATATATGGTGAATGCATTTGCGTTAATTGAGGCTGAACGCTTAGACTGGATGCGTACCCACCAATTCCCGGGTATTTGTTCCTCCCTGCACAAGTTTTGATTTTGGTTCTTTCACCTTCGTTCATTGTCCACGTAATTATTTTCAAAGACTTAGTTAGGAATATGCAATTACAAGCCTTTCGGTGTTAATTATTCCAACAGGAGAATCCTTGATACTAAAATTTTGCTCTAAACATGTACTGAAGTCGAAATTAGAAAGAGAATATGCATGACTGGTAGTGCTGCGATTCGCTGTGGTGTTTTGAAGAAATGGTAGTGCGAGCACATTTTGGTAAGGAATCCCAAAAACACGATCATAGGAGTCAAACTTATCTAGGGCGGATTGTGTTTAGATAAAACCTGCAGTTAGTTATTTATGTCATGTAGATATGTTTGCTGAATAGCTTTGTTTTCAGCTCAAATTTTCTCAAGTAATGTGTGCTTGGCTTTATAGTGAAGTTGTTGGTTATATGC